TATGAGAACCAGTGGTTTAGACTAATCAGGATTAATCTCAGAGGACTGGGCTCAACTCTCGGCAAATGCATTGCCACTCAGAGGAGGAAAGATATCTGAACAAAATCAGGATTCCATCAGAAAGGAGCCAGAGGAGAAAACTGTCGGGTAGGAAACCAGTAGTGTCAGCTAGAGAGTTGGGAAGAGACTAGAAGGAGTGTATCCAGACAGGAGACAAGAAAGCCAAAATGGAATGATGTCAAGGGAGCCATGGAGAAGAGATTCAGGGAGAGAGTGGTCAATGCTGTTAATGTCACAGATAGGGCCAGGAAGGTAAGCACTGAAAAGTGACCACTGGATTGGGCAACTACAAGATGTTTGTTTATCATAGTAGGAGCAGGGTTTATTTTTTGTTGTTTGTTTGTTTTTTCTCGGTGAGGCAGATTGGCCCTAAGCTAACACCTGTTACCAATCTTCCTCTTTTTTGCTTGAGGAAGAGTGGCCCTGAGCCAACATCTGTGCCAATCTTCCTCTATTTTGCATGTGGGATGCCTCCACAGCATGGTTTGATGAGCGGTGTATAGGTCCGTGCCCCAGATCCAAACCCATGAACCCCAGGCCTCCAAAGTGGAGTGCGTGAACTTAATCACTATGCACCAGGCCAGCCCCCAGCAAGAGCAGTTTTATTTTGAAGATGACACATGGGGAGAGTTATACAAAATACAAAGTTATTTGCGTATCATTATCCACTACTGATGCCAAGTGCTAGAACTAATTCCTAGAGTTGAGAGTGGTTTTCCTGGAATGCAGGTAAATAGACAAGTGATAAGAGGAGGTGATGGGTTTTGATTGACTGCTGAACAGTGAAATAAATTTACTGAGACATAATTCAGTGTTCTGAGCTCAAGTTCAAACACAGCCACATCCTAAATCCTAAATTATAAACAAGAGGTCACGATTATGGGGGAAAGGTTGGCACATCCTCATCTGTTTTCCAGTCCACACATCTGTCTCCACATATGTGCAGATATGTCTACTTACCCATCAATTCCCACCCATTCCTCTCTATTTATGCATATTTATTGTCTAGCTTCACATACATAACTACCCACAGATAAGTCCAGGTTCTGCCACTTGCTACTGGAATACCTCTCGTAGCCTCCGTTTGCACATTTGTGAAATAGAGATAATAATTGCACCTCTTATAGTCATTGTGAGGATTAAGTGAGATGATGTGTGTAAATAAAAACGTGTATATAATTGTTATTATGTTATGTGTATGTTATGTGTATTATGTTTTGTGTATGATAATCGTTATTATGGCTACACATCCTTTACTTTCTCCGCATGTAACATCACCAGCTAGTGATTGATTTTCAAGCGTCAGATGAGTTCAGGGATTTATTATTTATTTTGTTTTATTTTTTTCCTGAGGAAGATTCACTCTGAGCTAACATCTGCTGCCAATCTTCCTCTTTTTTGTATGTGAGCCACCACAACAGCATGGTTACTGACAGACAAGTGGTGTAGGTCCATGCCTGGGAACTGAACCCAGGCTGCTGAAGTGGAGCACACTGAACTTAACCACTAGGCCACTGGGGCTGGCCCAAGTACAGTTTTTAAAGTATATTTATACTGTATTGTTCCAACTATATGACATTCTGGAAAAAGGCAAAACTATGGAGACTGTAAAAAGATCAGCAGTTGCCAGGGGTTGGGAACTGGGGAAGGATGAATAGTAGAGCACAGAGGACTTTCAGGGCTGTGGAAATACTTTGTATGATAGTATAATGATGGATACACGCCATTATACATTTGTCCAAACTCACAGAATGTACACCACCAAGAATGAACCCTAATGCAAACTATGGACTTAGGGTGATTATGATGTGTCAATGTAGGTTCATCCATTGTAACAAATGTACCACTCTGGCAGAGGATGTTGATAATGGAGGAGGCTATGCATTTGGGGACAGGGGGTATATGGGAAATCTCTGTACCTTCCTCTTAATTTTGCTGTGAACCTACAACTGCTCTAAAAAATATTGTCTTTAAAATGAGAGAGAAAAAATGTGGGAAAAAAAATGAGCAAATCAAATATCTGGAATCCTTTGGCTAAATTCATTTATTCAATTAACCATATATATTGAGCCAGACCCTGGCTGGGCTCTGGATAAAATGGGAAGCAAAATTACTTTACAAACACATGGTGGAACAGTATATAGCTACTCAAAATGATTGTGTAGTTTTGTATTTATTAACCTGGAAGATGTTCATAGTATTATATGAAAAGGGTAGACTATAAATAATATTATATTATGAACCCATAAAAAATATATTTCAGGAGAAAAAAATTGAAATTTCTACATCAAAATGGTAAAATTTATGTTATGTATATTTTACCATAATAAAAACAAAGTAACAGTAGCTACTTCTGGATGCTATATATTTTTTTTTAATTACTTATTTGTTTTTAGTTTTTCTTTAATGGATGTGTATTTACTTGTGTGAAAACTAAGTAAATAAATGAAATCACGATTTAGAAGAAAAGGAAAAATAAAAAATTAAATCTGATGCTCTTTAAGGCAATCTGATTCACTTCTGACTGCAGCTTACCCCTCCATTCACCTCCCACAGGAGCCAGTCTTTCTGGATTTTTTAAAGTCCAGCCTTTAAGGCACTCTTGGACCAGAAGCCAGGAGAGCCCCACTATAACAGGGCAGGGAGCCAGGCTAGAAATGTGAAACAGTGAGAATGCGAAACAGACTGAGCCATTTCAGGATGGTCTTAAAATATGAAAAAATGACTTTTTCCATTCCAAAAATAATTCAGGAAGTCAAGTCTTGGGGAGGCTTCGGTTAGTCTTAACAGTGAAATCTGGGAAAGGCACAGGAAGTACAAAACTTGAAAGATACCCTGCAAAGATTTCTGTTGGCTGAGAACATTCAGTAGATTATGGCTGTTTCTGCGGTTATTTTTGCAGGTTAAGAAGGACCCTAAAACGGTATGTCGCTGAATGGATTCACTTCCCAACAGCTTCTTGGCATGCCACCTAACCATTCAAAGCAGACTCTACATCAGCCTCTCCAGCCTGTGAAATAAAGAGCGGGAATTGCAGGGAAGTGTGCGGAGGGCTTTTCTTTCATCACTTTGCAAAGTTTGGAAAGTTGCCATCCATTCGCATTTCACTCAAGCAGGCTTTTTCCAGATCCCAGAACAAATTGTAGCCAGAAGCTCTGCTCTTTATCAGGGGGCAATTGCAGCCCAGACTTAGCCAGGATCTTGCCCTCTTCCCTCAGAGAACAACTTCTCTTTATGTGTAGGGATCTTGGCTCTTCTTTTACCCAGGTGATGGGACACAATTCCTACTACTTTCCAGAAAGGACCCCAACTGTCTCTGAGTTTGTTTTGTTTTTACCATTGTCCAGGTTATGTCTGGATTTCACGTCTTCCTAGTATCAGTGGTTGAAATATTTTACAGTCTTTCGTCTTCGTTTTTCTTCCTCTTTAGCCACTGCAGTTTAGCAAAGCAAAATAAATAGGCCTCTGTCTCTGTTGTTGGAGACCCCAGGCAATCAACCTTTTGGGGAGCTGCGCACAAGTCAGAGATCTATGAACTCTCATAGGTTACATGGAGTTTAACCCCTTGCACAGAAAATTAAAGCCATGCAGTGTGGTACCTATTTTGTGATCAGATATTGCTTTCCTTTGTTAGGGATCAACTTTCCTTCCTTTTAAGGATAAGAATCTCTCATATGAAACTTTGAAATGATCTCGTTGACTATAAGAGGACAATGCAACTGTTCTATATCTTGAATGTAGTAGTCTTTGCATGACTGTATATGGGTGTCAAAATTAATGAAACCATTCATTAAAAAGGCTAATTTTTACTGTACATAAATTATATCTCGATTAAGAACACCAATAATCCCATTTAGTAACGTGGAAAAATGTGTAAGATACAATACCGATGCACGAAAAAAAATGGTTGCATCTATAAAGTTCATGTAGATACATGAATGAGGAGGAAATCAGGAGAATTTAAAACTGTATTTTGTTGAAAAAGGATATAATTGTCCCTTTTAAAAATTTCTTTGTAGCGGCCGGCCCCTTGGCCGAGTGATTAAGTTTGCACACTCAGCTTTGGTGACCCAGAGCTTCGCAAATTCAGATCCTGGGCACGGACATGGCACCACTCATCAGGCCATGCTAAGGCAGCATCCCACATACCACAACCAGAGGCACTCACAACTAGAATATACAACTATGTACTGGGGGGCTTTGTGAAGAAGAAGAAAAAGGAGATTGGCAACAGTTGTTAGCTCAGGTGCCAATCTTTAAAAAAAAATTTCTTTGTAATTGATGCTATGAGTTTTGGAGCTGTAAATACATTTTAAAACTTAAAGATAAGTATTTATAAAAACGTGTAGAGCTGAACACTTGAAATTAGTTGACATTCACTTTACCGTATATATCAATTTAAAAGTTTTTAAAGAAGGCTTAAAGAAAAGTTCTGGGTGGCGGTCACGAGGATGTAGTATATCCAAATAAAAAAAATCATCCACTTAAAATTTGGGCAGTCTACCGTATATTATACCTCAATAAAAAAACACAGAAATTAAAACTCTATGCTGGCGCAGTGGTGGACGAGCGGTCAAAGCCCGCCAGCGATAGGTTCACTGATTCCTCCTCAGAACAGGCCTCCAGGAGCGTAGATCACCCCCGCAGTACCTGCTCCCGCAAGGCTTTCGGTCGGGGAGCCTGCAGGGGGCACCCTAGCCTCTCAAGGAATTGCGATCCCGCACACAGGTCCACGGTTCCGGGGAACCAGCAGCCCTCGGGCCCAACTGGGAGGGTGGTGGGCCTCCCCAGCCCACCCTCCCCGCAGCGGGTCCGGAATCGCCGCCTGGTCGCCCCCGCCACTCCATTCCTCATCGGGCGCGCTGACGTCATCGGCCCGCTTCCCCGCCTCGCGCCGCCGTTCCCGCCCCGCCCCCTTTCCCGGCGTGCGCGGCGGTGAGGCTCCTCGCCCTCGGCTTCTGCCTGTCGCCCCAAGATGGCGGACACAATGAGCCGGCGCCGCGCCGGTTGGCCCTGAGGCGACTGTGAGGAGGAACGGCCGGCGAGGCCCGTAGTCCGGGCAGAAGAGCGTTGCACGAGCAGGAGCAGGAAGACGAAGGGGTGGCCCCACTGTCGGCCGCCCTCCCGCTCGCCGCCGGCGCGGCGCCCGCCCCGCCCGGGTCGGCCCCTCGGCAGCCCGCCCGCCCGCCCGCTCGCTAGCTAGCTAGCTCGCCGCCGGGCCCCGCCCCGGCCCTGTGCCGCCGCTGCCGCCTCCAGCAGCCGCCGCCATGAAGCTGACCGACAGCGTGCTGCGGAGCTTCCGCGTCGCCAAGGTGTTCCGCGAGAACTCGGACAAGATTAACTGCTTCGACTTCAGCCCCAACGGCGAGACGGTCATCTCGAGCAGCGACGATGACTCCATCGTGCTCTATGACTGCCAGGAGGGCAAGTGAGTGCGGCGGCGGCCCGGGTCCGTGTCCCCCTCCCTCTCGGGGCCCCGCGCTCGCCCCAGCCCCGGCCTGCTTTGCACTCGCTCCCGCTGGGGCCGCTTCCACTCCGAGGCCGTCCGGGAGGCCTGTTCTGGTGCAGATCATGATAGCAATAGTACTATCTCTATTTTGTATGTCTTCGGTCTCCACAGAGAACGCGTCTGCATCTCTTGCCAAACCCCACCTTGACCTTGACCTTTAGACGCCGGGCCCGCCCACCGCGGCCGGCAGGTAGCTCTCGACTCTGGCCCAGGCTCGGCTCGGCTGGGCTCGGCTGGGCTGGGCTGGGCTCGGCGCGGGCCGCGCCGCGGGCCCCGGGCTGCGCTCCCGCCTCGGCCCCGGCGTGGGCTCGCTCCCGCTGCCGTCTCCTCCGTGACCTCGATTCCGCCTCGGGCTCCGCCCGGCCCTGCCCTCCGCTTCTCGCGGGCTTTCCGCCCGCGAGCCGCGCGGGTTGCGCTTCTTAGCTGTCACGATCTATTTGTTGTGCCTTTTTGGGCCCCAGGTCTTTCCCTTTCTGTTGCGAATCACACTGACTCCCTCAGACCCGAGGCACGCGTTTATAGTTAACTTTTTAACAACATCTGAAACTTTCCGCTTTTGCCAGACACAAACGAACTTGGCCGCCCCGTTCCGACCTGAATGTGGACCTCCCATTAGAACAAAGAAAGCGTCGTATAACAATTTCTTGTTTCCTCTTATACTTTTTGATAAAAACTGCACTTTATGGCCCACTCAGAATTAAAATTCCAGTTCTGATCATGAAATTTGTGTTCCTCCAAGTCCTCTGGGGACCCGCTACACCTGCATCTCTGCAAAATCTTGTAAGCACAGCCTTTGGCCTTTCTCCCTGGGCACCTTGTCAGCTTCCCCTCACCCTTGCAGACTTGCTTTCTCCAAGTCCTTGCTGAACTGTGAGCTCCTTTGGAGCAGAAACTGCGTTAGGCTAAATTCAATTTCCCCACAGCCACCTTCCCCAAGCAGGCTTGCCTGATGTTTGGTTTAATTTGGTGGCTGCTGGTTTTGTCAGACTTCATTTTGTTACTTCGTTCCAGATCTTGCTTTTGAATCCTTGGGTTTTTCTCTACTCCAGCTGGTCCTTTTCTCTCTTTCTCTCCTTTTTTTTTTAAACCAATGTCTTCTGTAAACTTTGTTTTGGAACTTGCCTCTTCATTTGTGAATTTGGTTATCTAAAGTAATGCTGTTTTGGTCTGAGCTGTAATATTCTCCACGATTTTTTCCCGCTGGGGCTATGAAGAAGTGTTATGTAACTGGCTCTGTATCTGCCTGCAGTATGTGGAAGGGTAGCTGGCCTGTGGTTGTGGTCCTGGGGGAAGAGGGGTGTTAGCTGGACCCATGCTGAGTTATTTGAATTGATGTCACTCATTTAGTAAATGGATTTCTGTCCAGGTCTAGCTACTTGAATCAGCTTGGAAGAGAGAGTAACATGTAAAGCTGAGTGGGGTTGGAGTTGTGGGGTCCTGGAGTTAGAAGTGGTTTGAAGCTGGTTTGCTTCAAATAGTGCTTGTGCACAGATTAGAACCTCTCCCTGGAACCTGAGGGTGGAGATGCATATCGTTATTCAAAGGAAATGAGGGTTGTAATAGCATTCCTTCATAGTTTGTCTCCAAATGTGGCTAATGTTGACTTGTTGGGAGGCATGACAGTGACTTGAAGTCCTGTCTTGTTAAAAGTAACACGTTCATTTTATGGAAAAAATGCAGTTTTTTTACATAATTACAAACTTACAGAAAAGTTATAACAATGTTTCAAAGAACTCCCATATGATCCAGTAATTGGTTACATTTTGCTCCCTTTGCTTTATCATTCTCTATGTAAATATTTATATGTATGCATATTTTTTTCTGAATCATTAGAGAGTAAGTTGAAGGTATCAAGCCCTTTTATTCCTAAACCCTTCAACATGGATTTCCTAAGCACAGGACATTCCCTTACATAACTGGAGCAAAGTTATCCAAATTAGGAAATTTAATATTGATGCAATAGTATAGGGCATGCTCTTTTAAATTTTCTGTTAGCAATTGTGACCTTTTGTCATTGTGATCTGTGGCAAGGGTGACCTGGTAATTAGGAGACCTGGGTTCTAGTTTGGCCTTGTGACCAGGTATGTAACATTGATCAGATCATTTCTCTGGATATTAGATGTCCTCTGTAGCCTCTAGGAGTCCATGAGTCTAAGTGGCAATGCAAAGATAAAATTTGCCATCAGTGTAGGTAAAACCAACATTAGAAGAAAAGTAATGTTCCCTGGAAGTCATAGTATCTTTTGTGTGTGTGTGAGGAAGATTCACCCTGAGCTAACATCTGTTGCCAGTCCTCCTCTTTTTTTTTTTACTTGAGGAAGGTTAGCCCTGACATAACATCTGCACCAGTCTTCCTCTACTTTGTATGTGGGATGCCTCCACAGCGTGGCTGATGAGTGGAGTAGGTCCGCACCTGGGATCTGAACCTGGGAACCCAGGCCACCAAAGGGGAGCACACGGAACCCCAACCACTTGGCCAGTAGTATCTTTATTAGATGGTACTAATGTTAGAATTTGGGAGTTTGAAAATGGCTAAAACAAGATTCTTTATGCTGGGGCTGGCCCCGTGGCCGAGTGGTTAAGTTCGCGCGCTCCGCTGCAGGCGGCCCAGTGTTTTGTCAGTTTGAGTCCTGGGCGTGGACATGGCACTGCTCATCAAACCATGCTGAGGCAGTGTCCCACATGCCACAACTAGAAGGACCCACAACTAAGAATACACAGCTATGCACCAGGGGACTTTGGGGAGAAAAAGGGGAAAAAAATTTAAAAAATAAAAATAAAAGATTCTTTATGCTTAATATTTACCAGTTAACTGTTCAGTTAACTTTCTTTATAACAGAGTTCATCCATTGAGTGATTTTTCAACTTGAAAGAATATAAAGGATATTATCTGTGGTTAGGTGATGCAAATTATTCAAAGAGAAGGCTTTAACATTATTTATTCATACCTGATCACCAGAATCATGATTTGTGAAAAGAAGCTTACCAAAATATTTGTAAAAAAATGTTCATGAGCTTTGTAAAGATCCTCTGAAATGAATACAGTATATTAGGATCTGGCTTTCAAACTACGAAATGATATGAGATAAAAAGTTTCCGTTATTAGGAATAATTCTCAGGTTAGTGTTATTGATAAATTTGAGACAAATAGGTCATATATAAGTGGAACTAAAAATTTTCCTTACCCCACCCCTTTTTTTTTTTTTTGAGGAAGATTAGCCCTGAACTAACATCTGCCACCAATCCTCCTCTTTTTGCTGAGGAAGACTGGCCCTGAGCTAATATCCATGCCCATCTTCCTCTACTTTATACGTAGGATGTCTGCCACAGCATGGCTTGACAAGCTATGCATAGGTCTGTACCTGCAATCCGAACTGGTGAACCCTGGGCCACTGAAGCAGAATGTGCAAACTTAACCACTCCACCACCAGGCTGGCCCCTACACAACACCTTTTAACGTTGCCTCTTCTGGCTCTGTCTTCACTATCGTAGACTGAAATACTAGGATAAGTAAGCTTCTCTTTCCACTAGTAGGGGCAAAGTCAACAATCTTTTGAAAGTGAGCACACGTGCATGCTCTCACACTCACTCACTCGCTGGTTTCCATGTAGTAGCTTCATGGCAGAACCCAGGATTGTAGACTCAACAAGGTAGCCTTTGAGCTGATCACTTTAGCTCATTTTTCAGTAAAGGTAAGAATGTAGAAAATTCAGTGCATTTGGAGTGAGAAGTCTTGTTTGGATAGGATTTATGTAGGGAAACCCTTGACCTCATTGACATTAACAAAAGTTGAAAGTGCAAATTGTTGACTTCCTGAAGCTGCCTGAGTTATCTGATTGTTTAGCATATAGATTCCAAGAGGATTTTACATTGAGAGGGTAAACAACTTTTTCTTTCTTTCTTTTTTTGCTGAGGAAGATTTGCCCTGAGCTAACCTGTGCCAGTCTTCCTCTATTTTGTATGTGGGTCCCTGCCACAGAATGGCTGACAAGTAGTGTAAGTCTGCTCCTGGTATGCAAACCAGTGAACCTGGGCCGCCGAAGTGGAGCATGCTGAACTTAACTACTAGGCCATGGGGCCAGTCTCCATCTTTTTCATAAATTGGAACTCTTGGTAAACATTGATACAGGATTTATGAAATCTTCCTACACCTAATTCTAGAACATTATGAAGTTTTTGGTTAAAGATTTTGCTGAAATCAGTTTCAGCTTCATCTTCAAGGTTCTATAGAGGAAAACATTTAAGGAACTTGAACAAATGGATTGGTAACCTCTACCTTGGAAATATATGATTTTATGTTAAAGTGAAAAGAAAAGGACCAATGACTAGTTTTGCTAGAGAGAATTAGGCTTGCCTTCTATAAGGCTCAGTACGTGCTTTGGACCCATAGGATAGGGAGGATGGATAGCTTCTGCAGCAGTGGGTTATATTAGGAAAGACAAGCAGTTTTGCATCTGGTTTCAATTTTGATAAATCATTTCTTCTTGAAGAAAGCTTCTTTCTAAGTGAATGGCTTATGAAAAGTTCTGGTCTCATTGGTTTGATGTAGTTCCACATCCCCCTTTGTTATAAGTTATGACTTGTGTTATTTTGTATGCTTTTCTTCCCCAATAGATGTACTTTTTCTCAAAGCTTTTGGACATCATAGTAAAAACTGAATTGAGCCCTCAGATTTACTTCTATGTCCTAATGGTGGCATTTGCTGTTGAGAGGTAAAAGGCTGTTGCACTTGATTGATTGGTTTTGTTTCCTCCCTTTTGGAAGAAATTCTGTTTCTTTCCAGTGTTAGAGCCTACCAAGAATCCTCATCCTTACCACATCATTCAAATGCATCTCTTTATATGAAGATCCCAGATTTTGGTGGTGGATGATTTTGATGGTTTTCTTTCTCTGTCCATTTCCTCGTCAGACCAAAGAGAACCCTGTACAGTAAGAAATATGGCGTGGACCTCATCAGATACACTCATGCAGCAAACACAGTCGTTTACAGCTCTAACAAAATAGACGGTAAGCAAGCTTTCTTTTTAGGAAGTTATGGTCATGGTTTCTTTTGTTAAATAGTTCACAGAATCTTTGTGACTACTTCTGCTTTGGTTATAGTTACCTTAATTTAAATATTTTCCAATGATGTTAGCAATGGTAACATTGTTATGACTGAAGTGATGCTGGAAGCAAGCCACTAGTATTTTTGAGGACTTGAAACTGAGTATGAAAGGTCTCCAGTTTAGGGTGGAGAATGGCAATAGGAATTGTATTTATGGTTGTACTTCTTGAAACTTGAAAGAGTACTTTTAGAGCAAATAAACAGAAAGAATACTTGACACACAGCAAGTAGTAGACAACAGTACCTTCCCATTCAAGATATATAGGTTTGAGAAAAGTTTTCACAAATGCTTGAGCTATGGTAGTTTAGAGGACCTTAGAATAGTTTTTGGTGTATGCCCAATGTTTTATCGTCTCTGTCATAAAGGATAACCTACTGACCGTAGTTATCTTTGATTCCAGAGACATTTTTTTAATCTGAATTTAAAAGCTAATGTCTTTGAAGAGTAAAGTTATTTTTAGAAATTAAAATTGTGAATTTCTTTCTGTAATAAATGGTCTCTGTTTTTATCTGAATTTCTCCTGGGATAAGTCATTCTCAGTTGAAGGTAGTCTTGGTGATTGAGCTGTAACACTTACTTTCATATCAGGATTCCTTTTTTTTTTTTTAGCTTATCTTACTGATTTATTAATTGTTTCACTTTTGCAGTAAGATTTTTCTAATGTCATTCAACAAAGATTGCTTATGCTATTTTGGCTATGCCTATCCAAGAGCAGATGGGCAGAAGTATTTTTTTATTTTTAATGAGACTTTTCTGCCTGTACTTGATTTTTAGTAAGTATATCATTTCTACTTTTCATGCCTCTATTTCAGAAGTGGTTTTCTAAGTAAGCAGTGCAATTGATGCTTTTGAACAAGAATATAAAACATTAGGATCCTGAGGAAACATATCTATGTGATCATCTGAATGACTGATATATTTCTTCTGTTGGAGTATTTTTCTGGGTAATTAAATGAGAATTCTCCAAATATGGTGCAAGATGGGGCAAATGTTGGGCACTCGCAGCTTTGCTGCCAGGCCTCTGCTATGAGAATGTTGCCTTTCCTGTCTCGAGTGCATCCTGAAGAGTTCCTCCAACGCTCCGTTTCCTTTTGCCTGATTCCAGGCTGAGGTAGTAGTTTGTACAGTTTGAGGGTCTATGATACCACCCGGTACAGGAGATAACTGTACAGGCCACTGCCTTGCCAGGAACAGCGCGCCAGCTACTGAGTGGGGCAGAGAGGATGCCGACGCCCTGCTCATCTCTGGGAAACCAGGTAATGGGGAGGAAGTCTTTTTCTGCTTAGGGCAGGTGAGTAGTTCCTAGCAATACAACAACCAGGAAGACTTTGTGGTTGTCATTCGAAAGCTTTGAAGATGTTTTCAAGGAAAACCATGTAGAGTTCAATTTTGGAACATACAAAGAGTGTCCTTTTCCCTCTCCGAGGTTAAATGCCCTCTTATTAGAAAGTACCCCTGTGAACCACTGGGATGACTTGATGCTTTCAGCCTTTTTGTTCCTCTGTTCTATTTGCCTCCAGAATGTTCTTTCTCTGCTTTCCTTTCTACTTTTTGGCGCCATTTCCTGTTAGTTCTTTCTCAACAATTGTTCCTTGTTCTTAGTCTTTTTAGGGACAGAGTACTTTCCAGTTCTGTTCTTTATGGCACTTGATTCCCTTCCCATCACCATCTTTTTTGTTTGTTCACTTTTTTGGATAGAATCATTTGGTTTTTAAGAGTGTCTTATTTTCCCCAAGCACAAGTCTCTATGGTTATTCGTTTCCTGGATATTGTCAAAATCTTGCTGCTATCACTTGTTGGTATAGTTCATGAGTTTGATTTTTAAATGTCTGGAGATCTTTTTAACCCAAATTTCCTCACTACTTCTTTTGGCCATTTTATTACTATTGTTTTTAACTCCCTTCTCTGGTGCACAAGGAACCAATTGGATAATTGGTTAATTAGAAAAGAAGTAGTAGGACATTACTTCTCTTCACATTTTGTTTAGTTTTAATGTAAGTTGTATATCCAGTTAACATTCATATGAGTTCTGGGTTGGGCTGACAAGCTGTTGGAGAACCCTAGACAAACATTATATCAGAGTCCAGCCTGATTTCCTCAGCAGCCAGATGTTTTTCTTTAAGGCTTGCCATTCTGAGGGCACTGAAAGTATTGTGGGATTTTTTTGTAGGGGGCAGTGACCAGGGTATATTTGCAGGACAAGCTGCATTGTAACTATGCAGAAGCCAAAAATTAGTAGTAATCGTGATTTTAACATTGGTCTATATGCTGTCAGCTTAAGAACTCTGCTTTTGAATTATGTGAAATCTGTAGTGCCTACTCTTCGGCTGTGGAGAGGAATTATTCACCATTATTTATTCACACCTTGCTTGGGTTATGGAAAACAATGAATTCTTTAACCTTGTCTTTTCAAGATGAAAATGCAAAGTAAATTCCTTCAAATACAGTAGGATATCATAATGCCTTATTTGTCTTCTTACAGATACTATTCGTTACCTGTCCTTGCATGACAACAAATACATCAGATACTTTCCTGGACATAGCAAAAGGTAAGAAGTAGATAGAGAAGTAGACAGTTCTTTTATCCCTGAGGTTATCCAGAGAATAGACAAGTGGAGAAATTTTATTAGTGAACTGAAGCTAGTTCCTCATTGCTGTTGAACATTCCTCTTAGTCTTCTCTTGTTAACCTCCCTAAAGAGTCAGTGCTTGATTAACTGAGGTTGTGGAGGCAGGAGTAGGACTTCATAGATAAACCAAAATCTCAGTTAAAATGTAATTAGGAAAAATGTGGATTAAAGACAATGAGTGAAAACCTACGGAGTGAAAATTACATTTGGCATTTAGGAACCCCAAATATCAGATGTCCTTTGATGAAAGGACCATTTACGTGTATGAAGTCTTCTAGTATAGGTGGCCCACATTTAGTGTTATTTTATTTTATCTTTTTAAGATTTTATTTTTCCTTTTTCTCCCCAAAGCTCCCTGGTACATAGTTGTATATTTTTAGTTATGGGTCCTCTAGTTGTGGCATGTGGGATGCTGCCTCAGCATGGCTTGATGAGCAGTGCCATGTCTGTGCCCAGGATCCGAAACGGCAAAAGCCTGGGCCACCGAAGTAGAGCACGTGAACTTAACCACTTGGCCATGGGGCTGGCCCCGGTGGACCCCATTTTAGCAGGCCGCTGCTCTGCGTAAACATGTTTCATGTGAAAATCTTAATGAGGATGCAAAAAAATTAATGAAATTGTCCTTTGTTACTTTCGGAAGTCAAGAAGCTTGTTTCCTTATTCTAGTTTGTATTGCAGACTGCTTCTGTCTCATATGCCAATTCCCCCAGGATTTTTTCTCCAATTTTTCAAGTTTTGGTTGAGTTTTAAACACATTTTCTCTTGGATGATATTTTAATCACTGGAGGTATTTCCTCCTGCTTTCATTTGCAAATGTGCAGTAACCTAGTACTGCTTGGAGTTGTACAGAACCCTGACAGGAGATGGGCCTAGAGCACCCTGTTTTTGGCTACACTTCTGATCAGGCAGGGCATTTCTGTGTTTCTGAAAATAAAAGGTGGCAGCTGTTGGTTGTGTGTCATTCCAGACAAAGAATGGCTTGCAACAAGTAGAGGTTTTTGCTTGTTTGTAGTCGAATTAATGTTCACAGATGTACTGTCTATAATTGAGTAGATTGCAGTTCTTTGAAATTCTTTCCAGTCTTCCCAATTATCTGATCTCTTGACCTCCTGACTTTTATTAGGTGAGTTTGTCCCTCCCTTTTTGAGAAAATTAAGGCCATCCAAAAGGAGTTCTTTTTAATATTTATCCCTTCCACTAAAATTCCTCTGTTCCTTAGAACCCTTTCCTTGAGAAAAAACCTTCTTCCTTGACAAAACCAATCTCCCTCTGTCTGCTTGCTTCCATCTCTTTCACAAGACTTTTCCTTCCTGCCTACAAACTTACTTGGTCTTCCTTATGTTAAATCTATTTCTTGAGCTTATCACCCACTCTTTTTCACTGTCAAATGAGAAAGCATAGGGGGCTGGCTCCGTGGCCGAGTGGTTAAGTTCGCACGCTCCGCTGCAGTGGCCCAGGGTTCAGATCCTGGGCGCGGACATGGCACAGCTTGTCAGGCCACGTTGAAGCGGCGTCCCACATCCCACAACTGGAAGGACCTGCAACTAAGATATACAACTATGTACGGGGGGGGGGGGGGGGGTTGGGAAATAAAGCAGAAAAAAAAAAAAAAAAAGATTGGCAACAGTTGTTAGCCCAGGTGCCAATCTGAAAAAAAATGAGAAAGAATAATCTGTATACTCCCATCTCCACCTCACGCTCATTCACCATTTAAATCACTCTTGGTCCAGTCTCAGAATCATCTGTGAGCCTTTGTCCAAGCTTTCCCTTTTCCTGCTACCTCCAGTTAAAATCCACTGCCTTGGGCTTTTTTTTTTTTGCTGTTCAACTTCTCAATAAAACTTCTTTTTTCCTGTGGCAGCCGACTTTTCCCATCTTGGTTCTAATCTTGCTATTCTTGGCCTCTCGTTCTCCTTTGACGCTAAAATAAACAAGGTTCTACCCAACTATTTTCCCCTCTTGGTAGTTACTCAAGTATCTTTATCACTGATTTCATTCACTTCTACTCAGATGACTTCCCAAATCAGTATTTTTAGCCTACATCTGTTATGATTTCCAGACTCAACTTCCACTTACATGTTTTATATACATCTATGCAGATGTCTCTTCCACGTCCCCACCTGACAGGTCTGACAGTCCATCCATCATTGTTATATTCCTTGGGTCAGCTTCCTTCTGTCTGCCTTCGACCCTTCTAATTCTCCTGACTCAAAGCTTCTGTTGTCTGTTCACTACCTTTCCCCTGCCTTCATATCCAGTGAGTTGTTAAGTCCTATTGATTCTATATAGGTTTAACCCCATGTGTAACTCCCCCATACCGTCTCCTTTGCTTCTGTCCTAGCTCATGCCCCGTCAAGGCATTACGTCCCCATCTCCCCATCCCTCCTCATCCTGCTTCAGCACCCTATACAATTCTGACCACTTCACAGCCTCCCTCAGGAAGCCTTAATGGTTCTCTGCATCTCCCTGCTCCTTCCCCTTAGAATCAGGTTCTCCTCCCTGTGGCTCTGATCCATTTTCCCAGTGTTAGCTCCCACCACGCCAGTTGAAGTGAACTCTGGGCTGCTTCCTGAATATAGGCCTCATGCCTTCCTATCTAGCACCTTCCACAAAGTCATCTCCTATTGAAACCCTGTTCACCACAGGTGCTACTTCTTCCAGAAAGCCTTCTCCGACCCTTTCTTGGAATTGTCTGGACTAGACAGTTAAGCTTCTTTAGAGTTGAGGTCTTGCTCCTCCTTGTATTCCCTGTAGCTCTTAGCATAGAGCTTTGTGCTAAGATAGACTTCCTCTGAGCTTTTGACCTGAATACCATGACATAAAATTATATGTCCATATGCATTCTGCTCACTCTATTTTATTACCACCTCAGTATTCCTAGGAAATTTTGGCTTACAGTATCTTTTTTTCTTTGAGGAAGATTAGCTGTGAGCTAACTGCCGCCAGTCCTCCTCTTTTTGCTGAGAAAGACTGGCCCTGAGCTAACATCTGTGCCCATCTTCCTCTACTTTATATGTGGGATGCCTCCCACAGCATGGCTTCTCAAGTGGTGCCATGTCTGCACCCGGGATCCAAAACAGCGAACCCCGGGCCACCAAAGTGGAACGTGTGCACTTAACTGCTGTGCCACTGGGCCGGCCCCAAGCTTACAGTATCCTTTAAATTTTTAAGTTGAGGAGCTAGTGCAGATGTTAATTGAGGTATATTGGAAAAATTTTTTTTCGTAGGTAAAAACTTTAAGGAAAAAAGTACATTTTCTCAGTTTCTATTTATAACATAAATTTTAATTCTTTGTAGTAGAACCAAAACCTCCTGAACCCCTTTCCTTGTCATCCAGAATTTGAATTTCATCTATTTCTAGATTAAAAATCCATTCACAAATGAGCTGTGCTGTTTGATCACTTTTTTTTTTCTTTTTAAAGATTTTATTTTTTCCTTTTTCTCCTCAAAGCACCCCGGGACATAGTTGTATACTTTTAGTGGTGGGTCCTTCTAGTTGTGGCATGTGGGACGCTGCCTCAGCATGGCCTGATGAGTGATACCATGTCCACGCCCAGGATCCAAACCTGCGAAACCCTGGGCCGCCGAAGCGGAGCGCATGAACTTAACCACTCGGCCACAGGGCTGGCCCCGATCACCTTTTTGACTTCAAATTTTCCTTTGGCAAAATGAAACAATACGGCATCAGCATTTCCTCTATAATCTTTATCTATGACGCCAGATCCTGTATCTATGAAGAGTTTGTTTTGTTTTTTTTTTAAGGTTTTATTTTTCCTTTTTCTCCCCAAAGCCCCCCAGTACATAGCTGTATATTTTTAGTTGTTGGTCCTTCCATTTGTGGCATGTGGGATGCCACCTCAGCATGGCTTGATGAGTGGTGCCATGTCCACACCCAGGATCTGAACTGGCGAAACCCTGGGTTGCCGAAGTGGAACGTGCAAACTTAACCACTTGGCTACGGGGCCGGCCCCCTATGAAGAGTTTTGCATCCAAGCCAGAATGTGGAACTACTCTTCTGTAACACCCAGAAGGAAGAGCCATCTTAATGTCTGTTTTCATGAGAGTTTTCTCCATATGTACTCTAGAATCCTAGGTACTCTACAGGTCATAGCATGTGACCTTCAAGGACCCTCTGGTCGGGGCTGTCACATGCTCCAAGAGGCAGATAAAGTGGAGCCACGTGCCATCCTTCTCCACAGGCCAGGCTCAAATGCTGGTGAGGTGGCAGATGTCTCATCAGAGGAGGGCGGGTGTCTCTTCAGAGCGATAACATGAACAGAGGGGACAGGAGAGCTCAGGATGAGCCCTTAGAAGAAATGTTTTTCAGTGAGTGACTCTTAATGGTTTAACCGTAAAAGGAACTCAAATCAGAAATATGGTTGCTGTTAGACAGGCCTGAGGCTCTCAAGTGTGGTACCAAACCAGCTGTCTCATCATCACCAGCAGCTTGTTTGAAGTGCAGAACCTCAGGCCTTACCCTAGACCTACTGGATTGGAAGTTCTGGGAGTGAATCCCAGCAATCTGTTATAACCCACCCTCTAGGTGTTGTTGATGCCTCTTAGGTTTGAGAACATTGGTAGAGTCCACAAAACTCTAGTTAAGGAATCATGCCTTTTTTTTTTTAATTGAGATATAGTTCAGTACCATAAATTCACCCTTTTAAAGTATACAGTTCATTGGTTTTTAGTATATTCACAGAATTGGGCAGCCATTGCCACTGTCTGATTCCAGAACGTTTTCATCACCCCAGAGAAAAACCCTGTATCCATTAACAGTCACTCCCTACTCCCCTTCTTCCCAGTTCCTAGCAACCACTAATCTACTTTCTGTCTCTATAGTTTGTTTATTCTGAACATTTTGTATAAATGGAATCAGATGATATGTGGCATTTTGTGTTTGACTTCTTTCACTTGCCATGTTTCCAAGGTTCATACATGTTGTAACGTGAATCAGTACTTCATTCCTTTTTAATGCCAAATAATCCCATTTTATGGATACATCACATTTTGTTTATCCATTCATTAGTTGATGGACATTTGGGTTGTTGCCAGTGTTTGGCTATTGTGAATAATTTTGCTGTGAACATACATGTATGTTTTGGTGTAGACATATGTTTTCATTTTTCTTGCATATATACCTATGAGTGGAATTTCTGGGTTATGAAGTAACTCTATCTTTAATTTTTTGAGAAACTGTGAAACTTTTCCAAAGCACTGTGCCATTTTACATTCCCACCAGCAGTGTATGAGGGTTCTAGTTTTTCCAAGTCCTCACCAATACTTGTTATTTCTTTCTGATTATAGCCATGCTAGTGGGTGTGAAGTGGTATCTCATTGTGGTTTGATTTGCATTGGAATCATACATTTTTATGCTGTAGTTTTAAGTTGCTTTTTTCATTATATTGTTGCCTTTGATTATTTCAGATGGCTTGTGTATGTGTGTTTCTTAAAGTGGAAGTTTTGGGAGAATAGGTATATATAGGAAGGCAGGTAGAGTGGTTTGGAGTTCACATCTGATTTTTGCAAATATTTTGCTTCAACTCCTATTTATCTTAATGCATTGCAGGGTGGTAGCCTTGTCCATGTCACCTGTGGATGACACTTTCATTTCTGGGTCTCTTGATAAGACCATTCGACTCTGGGATCTCCGGTCTCCTAACTGCCAGGTAATGGTACCTCACAATTACACTCTGAGTATTTTCTGTGGTAGGCGCTATCATCAACTCTCCCTCTTAAGGAAGGGAAAGCAGTGGTTCCATTCTGGGATCCCAGTGTCTTTTTAAACTTTGGAGAAAATCTGTTTTCTTGGTAGGTAGCTGGTAATTAAGTAAATACCCTATCCATTGCATTTTGCGTTATGCTCTGTGGCTTATTGCTTTAAAAACTTCTTTCCTGGAGCCTTGGAGCTATAGCTTTTAGCCTCAAGGAATTTGTTTTTATTTGAATTCACTGTCTATAAAATTGTACAGTTAGGGTTGATCTGAAATCAGTTGTATGGAGACTTGTTTTTAAAAAGCTCATTTTAGTTTGTTTTATGTTTGCTTTTTCTGTGCTGTAGATAGGCTTGTGTCTTTTTGTGTCCCTTTCTTAGTTTTCATTGGGAGAAGTATATTATATAGGGGTAGGATCCTGGGTACATTAACTTTTTTATTTCCTTTCTCTTAGGGCCTCATGCATCTACAGGGCAAGCCAGTTTGTTCTTTTGATCCAGAAGGGTTAATTTTTGCTGCAGGTGTCAATTCTGAAATGGTCAAACTTTATGACCTTCGCTCTTTTGATAAGGTAAATCTTTGGATCTTTGAGCTATCTTGATATTATGGAAGCTTTGAAGGGTAAGATGGACATTTAAGAGCCTTTTTTATGGTAGAGGAGGTATGTGGTAGATATCAGTGTCATAGCAGTAGTTCATCCTCTCTTTTCCCTAGTCAAAAGGAATCTAAAGGAATAGAATGAGAGTTGGCTCTGTTAGAAGGAATTATTGATGTGCCTTGGGCCTGGGGCTGCTATTTGTATCTTTTGCAGGGGCCATTTGCGACCTTTAAGATGCAGTATGATCGGACTTGTGAGTGGACAGGACTTAAGTTCAGCAATGATGGCAAACTCATCCTCATCTCCACCAATGGCAGCTTCATCCGTCTCATCGATGCATTCAAGGGAGTGGTGATGCACACATTTGGGGTGAGCTGACAACTTTTGAGCATGTCTGTTTCCATGCTCATACCTCCTGGGCTGAGAATTGTGTTAGCTGGTTGGCGGAAACCAGCAGCTATCCTTGACTCACTGATCAAGGCATAGACTTGCGTTTTCTTCCTGCAAATGAACTTATTTCTTTTGGATTCTAAGACATTCACTTCTCACCTAGTGACCCAGGTTTGGTGTTCAGATATAAAATAATCCCTGACCATAAACATTTTCTTGCACCCTTGAATATGGAGTTGGGGATAGAGGGTGAATTGTAAAGGCTGAGTTTGGAACCTTGGTGGCAGTGTACATGAGGAGGAGAGGGTTTCATGGAAAGGAAAGTTATTTGTGTGCTGAATCGCTGTTTCTAGGCAATTATTTTTTATTAATGGCACTGTAACAAGAGAACTGTTCTGCTTTTCTTAGGGTTATGCCAACAGCAAAGCTGTCACACTGGAGGCCTCATTTACTCCAGACTCTCAGTTTATTATGATTGGTAAGCTTCCTTTATCGTCCTTAGGGGTTATTTCTCTAGTACTCTGCATTTACTTATTTATATTATTTGTATTAGTTTTAAGTAGTTAAGATATTATTTATTTTCCTTTTGATAGATGTTCTCAGATTTCTGTGTAGCACATTATGCCAAAGTTATAGTGTCTTTAAACTATCCTGATTTTGCAGTCGTTCACTGCGAACTGGCATTAACGTTGGTCTTCCCTGGACCAGCATTAGAATTAAACTCTATAAGCACTATCTTACTAGTAATTACTAGTAATGCTGACTTCCTAGTATAATCCTGCGTTCACTTGTCTTAGTGGCTAGATGTTGGTAGTGTAGTGGTATTCAGCCCCCTTGTCAAATGAGAAACCCGAAGTCAGAGGGGAAGTGACTTGTCCAGGAACAAATAACTAGGGTCAAGATGAATTCTCAAAATGTCCTTTCTTCGCTGCCTCTCCTCCCTCTCAATTTCTCCTGAGGGCTGGGTCCTGAAGCTTGGCCTCTCTCCAGATATCAATCCATGTCCCTTTCTCACTTGTCTTTGTTTTGTGCCTTGAGCTATTGTATTTTCCTTGATCATTTTCTTTAGGTTCAGAGGACGGCAAGATCCATGTCTGGAATGGAGAGAGTGGTATAAAAGTAGCTGTGTTGGATGGCAAACACACAGGCCCCATTACCTGTTTGCAGTTCAACCCCAAGTTCATGACCTTTGCCAGCGCATGTTCCAACATGGTATGTGAACAACTGGGGAGATGTCCTCAACCTAGGGGCCCATGCCAGTTAGTGTGGTGGGTGCTTTAAGGAGCACAGCATGTTCTAAATAGGTACATTGCAAGCACCCAAGTTCATGTTTCTCAACTGATGGCTTCCCTGTTTCACCTCTTATTATCTGATCTCTGGCTGATCTTTCACTTTTACTTTACTCTCCATGATCTGGGATCACCTCTCAGTTCCTGGGAGATCTTAGGCCAGTTTCTGCTCTGGCCCCTGGTTTTATGCCCAAACTACCTGGGGCTGTGCTTAACAGCCTTTTGGCTTTTTTTTTTTTTTTTTTTTTTAGGAAAATTAGCCCTGAGCTAACATCCACCACCAGTCCTCCTCTTTTTGCTGAGGAAGATTGACCCTGAGCTAACATCTGTGCCCATCTTCCTCTATTTTATATGTGGGATGCCTGCCACAGCGTGGCCTGATAAGCAGTGCATAGGGCTGCACTGGGATCTGAACCGGTGAACTCAACCGCTGCACCGCCTGGCTGGCTCCCAGCTTTTTGGCTTCTTAAAATACTTTGAACCAACCTGTTGTGGCAACAACCTTTCAGTTTTCCATTCCTTTCAGTTTATGCTGAATTCATCAGAAATTCTTACAGCCGATCATAACTCACCACTTAGAATTTCCTCCAGGCTCCTGTCTCTTCCTGGACAACACGAGCAGAACAAAGGGTCAGAGTCTCAGCCACCAGTTTCCTCTTAGCATCTCCTAAAACCTACCTGGTTATTTGGGGATGAGGCATTCACTACTAGCCTACCAAGAACACGTTCCCCCCTCTTTCTTTTTTTTTAACCAAGAAAACAATGTCAGAAAAAAATGCACAGAACCATCCAATCCAATCCCTCTCTCTTTTTTTTTTTACAGCTTAGGAAGGAGAGGGCCTGTCTGAGGTCACCTGGTGGATTAGCAGTGAGGCTAGGTTATGCAGACCCCCACCTCCCGGACAGCATTCCTTTTTTGCCTTACCACTGGACCACTGTGGTAGAAGGTAGACAGTATTGGAGGGAAACAGAACCAGCTTACTTTCATGTAAAGGGAGGAGTGTTTTTTTCCTCCATAGATTGCCAGAGTTGGTCAGGAGGGAGGGCCACCAGCCATAACTCCAACGTTGGGGTTGGGCATCTGATACTATGGGGAGGGGTAAGAAGAACCCTCAGCAGTGAAGAGAGAGGCTTGGCTTTTTAAAGTTGACTTACGTTCTCCTTCCAGGCCTTCTGGTTGCCCACCATTGATGACTGACCCTGATGCTCAGCTGTTTCTGTACAGCGAGGGTGGCCAGCAGGAAAAAACTCAGAAGAGACTGAGATAATGGTGAGATTGGATCATTTGACTGGGCTGGAGAGCATCCTTCCACATGGCCTTCCCATGGATGTGCTGTACATCTGCTCAAAAGAAAAAAAAATTACTTTGCCGAGCTTCTTCAAAAGGACTTTTGGTGTGGCAGATTCAATCGGGACTCAAATTTTCCAGCTGTCACTGCACCAAGCTCCTCCAGAGGAATGACCAGATTCAGGATTAGGGTATAGTGGGGCCCTCAAGACGTCTTCAGTTTTGAATGTATTTGCTTCTGAGGAGCCGGTGAAGTTGTTAATTCTGCACATCTGTTCTCCCATCCCAAGAAATGCATGGGAAGCCACAGTTTTGGTTTTGAGATGCTTGGGCAGCTCAGTGTCCCTTGCCCTCATCCTGCATGTTTTGTTACTGGGTCTCCCTGTGTCATTGTGGCATTATTCCACAACCATCATGTTGCTTAGGTGCCAAACATTTACAGAGATAAGTCTTCATATATCTTGGAGTCAGAAAGGGACAGATATAGAAGGACCTTGCTTGCCAGAAAGCCTGGCAAGTTAGTTGTGTGAGGATGGGTGATCTGGGCATGCCTCAGGCTCTGGGTGTTGGGTGGGAAAAGGCCCAAGAGCTTGAAAGGGAGGCTGGGTAGCAGATAAGTTCCTAGGGTTGGGAGGTTTAGCAGCAGCCTGGTGTGGTTCCCCGTCATCAAGATAAACCCACGGTCCTTCTGGGTGCCTGCCGTGCTTGGTTGCGTACAAAAGCAAGGTGGGAGTCTATTTTTGTACGTGAGATACATCACACTTTCCTGTGGGCCAGTATTGTGGAATGAGTCTGAGTTGTTTACACTGATGCCTTCCCTGCCCACCACAAATTGTGTACATAGTCTCCAGATGATACCACCCCTTACCCAGCTCCCAACCAAGAGCTGGCTCTAGGCCTGTGTTATATGTTATATTTAGCCTTTTTATATATGACCTGGGATTTCTGTTGTTTGTATTTTAGCACAGTGTGTATACCTTCATTTAAATATATCTGTGTGTGTGCATACATATATATGTATATGTATGTATGCACATATATATATATATATATATACAAAATATCTGTCATTTCTCAGAGTTCAGCCGAAGGAGATGGAGTCCTACAGCCCAGGAGAAAAACTGCATCCTTGCTAATAGTGTTTGCCACAAGTGTTAGTGAGTCTTCCCTATTACCTTTTTCCCTTCGGGAGACTGAACGAAGCAAAGCTTCAAGTGTTTGCTGTTCCCATGGCAGCTAAGTGAGGGTCTTGGGATGACTCCCTTGTTTTCCTCAAGCCGCACTTTGGGGCCCTCTCTCCAGTATTAGCCCCCTTTTTGCCCAGTGATGCTCTGTCTGCGCCTGTACATGTATGACAGTCACTTGCATGCCTTTTGTGTCTGGCTTCCAGCATTTGGGGATAGGATGCTGGAACTAGAACATTTTCAGTTTGTCTGACGCTTCTTTGCCAATTACAGGTCACTTCTGTTTACCTGGTATGTCTGCTTTCTTGCTTCTTTTCCTTGCCTTCTCTTGGGAGAGGGAGGGGTCTGATCAGGGTTGAAATGAGCTACAGCTGGCTCATGGCCTTTTCTTCCCCTGCATGGCCTTCTTAGAGAAGGACAAGTGGCATGTTATTTCACATTATGTTCCCAAACATTTAAGCAACACATTCCCTGCCGATCCAGAAACAGGCTCAACAAGGTGAGGCCTTGCCCAAGAGAACATAGCTGCTAGGGGAGAAAGCAAGCCATTACTGCCTCTGCTCAACAGCGGGAATAGTTGTGAATCGCTAGCAATTAACTGTTTTGTTTTTTCAGCAATTACATTTTGACTTGTTTCTCAAACTTAAAGGGCAAGGGGTATACATCTTTCCCAAACGTAGACTGGAATCTGCAGCTTCTGTGGTGCCACACACTGTATAGCCTGCCTTCTCAGAGTGGAGGGACTTTTAGAAACCAAATGATCTGAGCTGTTACTGCCCACTTCTGGCTTTCCACGATAGAAAATTCATGGTAGGAGTAACTGTTCAGAGAGAGTGCTTGGAACTGTGGATTAACAAGAAAGGCTGCCTAGTTAACAGGTCTGCAACCAGAGCAGCCACCAAACATGACTTGCCTGTCAGCAGGAAGATGATTTGTATTGAGTTCCTGCGTTTCCAAAGCTGAGGCACTATGTCCTTTGAAAATACGCACTGCATGGCCTCTATTTATGGGAACATGTGGCTGCAGAACTGGCTCCTGAGTTGGGAAGGAAAGGGAAAAGATGCAGCTGGAAGTGACTGGAGATGATGTGGTGGTGGGAATAAGGCAGAATAAAGGGGGAAAAGAGGCTGTGGGCCAGAGAGCTGAGGGCTGGGCTGCAAGGATACTCTGACTGGGAGCCAGAGGTACTCAAGCTCTCCTCGCGGGGAGGGGCTGTTCACTACACTCAAGAGTCAAGGCCAAAGCCACCAATTTATATGTGACATTGACACCGCACTGCTCAACCACCAGCCAGTGGGGTGTTTTTTTTAGAAAAAACTTCCCTGTTGCAATCATAATTAAAGCTTAAGGGAAATTTGGGAATTTTAAGAAGAATCAGTTTGCTGCCCAAATGCTACCACTGTTAATCTTCTGGTGTTAAATGTTCCTCTACACATTTCTGTGCATAGATTTTTGGTGTGTTTACATAGTTGTTATTCTACTGTATATACAATTTTATGTCCCTTTTGTACTTAACATATAAACATTTTTTCCATGTTACCTGTCTTAAACAGAATTTTATGGCTGTAGCCTCTTCCATTGAGTTTCCATAGCATTGTTTGCCTGGTTCCTAGAGTTGGAGGGAGGGGTGGGTTGTCTCCTGTTAGTCCTGGCTCACACTGGGACTCACTGTAACGCTGTGTGGATGGATTGTTGGGCTCTGGGATTGCCTCTGACTGTCCCTGGTGCCTAAGGCCTTTGGGCTGATGGGAGGAACCCCTCGACCCAGCCCTCAACGCATAGCAACCTGGGTCTCCTTAACCCTAGGCTCTAATAAGCAGCCATAGGGCCAGAAATGAGTGACTGAGAAGGACTATCCTGAGCCAACCTTGATCTTCAAAGATTGCATCTGGGATGTCTTAGGCTGCCTTTCATCTCCCACAGTTACCTCAACCCTTGATCAGATTGGCAGCCTCTAGTTGGAATAAGCTTCATCCTCTTAGACCCTAGCTTCTGGGGGGCAAGGATAGTGGGTCCTCTTTGAAGCTCCCGCACCAGTTGTGGCAGAAAGCATTGCCTGGCTGGTGAGTTGGTAACTCCTAGAGCCTGTGCTCTAGCTCAGCATCTCAGAGCTGCAGGATCTGCTGCCTGCCTCTTGCCTGGCCCTCTCTGAAATGGAGAAGACAGTCTTGGGCCTGCCACTTTGCCCATGGTCATTGGAGGTTGGGCCAAGGGCTCTGAAGAAACATCCCAGCTTGTAAGTGGTAGACCTTGCATAGGCTCTCCTGACAGACTGCTCAAGGAAGAAGAAACCCTCATGGCCTGGTGGGAGGGCTGCTGCAGCGTTTGGCTCTGCTGAGAGACATGAAGTAGGTCGGCATGGCTGCCCTGCAGAAGTCACTCCTATCAGCTTGGCTTGCTTGCAGCTGAGAGACCCACTGCGCCCACTCCCTGGGCAGGCTTCAGCCTTGTGTGAGGAGCAAAAGCAGGCAGTGGGCTGGGTCGGAAGCAAAGCAAGCAAGCTGTGGGGGTGAGCTAGCTCAGCAGTTGATGTGGGTGAGAGGCAGGCACAGGATGTTGCCCACACGTTGCTGGGGGGTGGGGTGGAGAGTGCTGAGGAAAGAGGAAGTAAAACTGCAGGCTGGGAGGGCACACTCCTGTATTTGCCAGTCTAACTAAGAGGCTGCCCAGGGCTGCTGGAGCCAACCACGGTTTGTCAGGACCCAGCTGTGGGCAGATGTAGGCCCAGAAGTGCTGGGCTGTGGAATGTGACTGAAAAATGAGAAATTTTGTAGTTTTTCCTCTCTTTTCCTTGGAGAACTTAGAGGAAATGGAGTCTAAAATGAGTTAATGGGCAGGAAAGGGGAGTCTGAGAGTCTCCCCAGTGAGTTAAATACACACGTTTTACCATCAATTCTAGGGCCTTTTGGTCCTTAGCCTTCCTGGCTGCAGTCTAGGGCTGTGAGTTGCCTGGTAAGAATTCATCTCAATTGTAAACTAAAGTAGGAGTGGGTCAGGGGAAGAGTCAGGTGAGGCTGAGGTCACGAAGGCAGCTGCCTTGTAATTCAGGAGGTACTTCCCAAGCATCTGAGCCTTGGCAAGTGCTAGATGATAAAGCAGTCGTTGGGAAGAGCAAGAACTAAGCTGCTCATCAAACAGCAAGCCCTGGAACCCCAACTGACTTTGTCTCCAGCTAAGTCTAGTTTATAAAAATTTGCATTCAAAAACAAGTTAAAGGCGTCCCTTCTGGTACCTCAAGCCTAGAGCTCACAGATGGTGGTAAAAGGTCTTCTTTCTGTTCCTTGGCAACAATTCTCTCACTGGGACTCACCTCAAGCTAGGAACTAGGGAGGCTGCAGAGAAAACAGTCTTGACTCTAGGCAAACTTGCAAGATGGAGCTAAGACTGATTCTTTGGAAGGTAACAAGAAAGCGCAAAAGGTATACTGTAATATCAAGCTGTACAGCAATTCACAATTCACAAGGGCTCTTGTGCACAAAAACATTTAATAATAGGGAGGTGATGGGGAGCAACAAAACAAAGGCATTGTTGGGCATCAACCCAGGGTGGGGCTGGGGCCAGGGAGGAGCGATCAGGAGGCCAGGCTACAGGCAGGAGCAGCAATTGGAAGGCATTCCCCACTCAGCCAACTCTGGGGCTCCTCTTGTCCCTTTCTGTTCTCCCCCCAACTTTAGCCCTAGGGCCTGTGCCTCGCCTCCACTGGCAGAGGAGAGCAGGGCAGGACTGGAGCTGGTCTCCCCAGGCGCTGCTTCAAGATGGCTGTTCAGCAGATAGGAGGCTGCCCGCAGCTTCTCATAAGGCACCCTGCATGTACTTTGGGGGTTGTTGAGTGATACCTGACATTCATGGATTGGAGACCTGGACCCAAACACAGGCTGTCTACCCTTCCTGGCATCCTTGGCCAATGCCCTTGGTCCAGCTGTCCCCATCTGGGAATACTATATTGGGCTGTTAAGGATCCTGTTTGAGGAGCCTCCTGTGGATTTCCTAAGTTGTAAAGGGCCTCTGCCAGGAGGAATGTTAACATTGACAGCGCTCTTTCCCTGCCTGCCAATGTGGAGACCTGGAGAGTTGGGCTCTCTGGCTGGTATAAATGCTCCCCTTGAAATGGGTTGGATGGGGGAGTGAGAGCCCGGGGCTGTGTCCGGGGACAGGGCAGGCAAGCCTGCTGTTGATCATGGTGGAAGGATGCCCAGACTGCCCCGGAGTGGTTCTAGGATGTGGTGTCTGAATCCTCAGTGGCCACTGCTCCCTTGGCCGTGGCTGTGCAAGGGAATCACGAACACAGAGACGTCGTCGTAGGACACCTGTCCTTCCCCTGTGGGACTGCCGTCCTTCCCCTGTGTGCTGTGTATCAACATTTTGGCCAGCTCCGAGAACCTGTGGGGACCATCCTGCAGATGCACTTCGGTGGCCGAACACAGAAGCAAGGCCAGCCCTCAGGGAGAACTCACTGCACAGGGTTGGACACTTGGGGACCCAAGCAATGCAGTCCAACTGTGAGGCCAGGCAAGCCAGAAGCCTGGGAAGGCAACAAGTTGAATCACGGGAATCTGAACCCAGAGATTTTTTGGGACCCACAGTCACCCCCCAGAAGCTTGAGACAGCCCCAGTCCTGGCCACCTGCCCTGAGCCAAGCTCATCATCAGTGCTGTCTTCTTAGCCATAACTACTTAGTGTTGCTGCTGGCACCGACCCAGGCCCAGGCAGGTCCCCAGCAGCTACACTACCTGTGTGGGTCCTCTCGGTTGCCAGGGAGGAAGCTCCGCACCAGCCGTGCCACCTGCTCATTGGACAGGACATCCCAGAGCCCATCAGTTGCCATAACAACCACATCCTCCTCCTGCAGCTCCAGCTGGTCCACATCCAGTACAGTCACCTGCAAGTTAAGCCTGAGGATCCTTCAGTGCTCCCTTCCCACCAGACTCATTGCCTTTCTGGGCAGATGGAAGCTGCAGTGAGCTATTGCCCCCTCACCTGTGGGACAGAGAGCAAGAAGGGCTTGAGCTGAATGTCTGTGTCCAGGACTCTGAGTTGATGGTCTCCCAGGCCCCGGGAGACGGCCAGTGTTCCCAGTAACCGAGCCTGGGGACAAGGGAGGTGTGAGCTGACAGCAGACAGTCCCAGCAAATGCACAAGTAAAGCACACAGAGGTAGACTGCAGCCCTTGGGAGCCTTGGACTGAGGGAGAAACATCCTGTCACCTGGGAGCAAGGGCCCTGCCCCCAGGGCCCTGCCACAGCCCCCAAGAAGGGACAAAGGAGCTCTCACCTCTGTAGGAGGCAATTTAAGAGGGATTCTTGGTAGGGGCCATTCACTGACCTGCCTACCCTGTCCGTGGATCAGCGGGTACTTGAGATCCGACTTCTCCACGCACTTGTAGCCCCTACCAGGAGCAGAGCCAGCATCAACTCAGGCCCTACTCCCCACCTCATCTTCCTCCCAACACAGGGCCCACCCTGCCCAGGTGGAAGGGGACTGCCCCAGTCCACACAGCTGGGCCTGGACCCCAGGGCTCTCTCTCTCCACTGTGTCCCCCACCCCACCTCACTCACCAGCCGCTCATGTGGTGATCCCTGAACAAAACCTTCTGTCCCAAGTCATCTCCCTTTAGCCGCCGAGGGAACTCCAGTCGGGTAAACTCACCAGCCAGAAGCTCAGGGTAGACAAAGGCCTAGAGTAGGAAAGCCATGCTCAGATTACGCTCCCCCTGGTGGCCCTGGAGCCAGGAGTTGGGGTTCCACAGCCTCCCTCGGCCAAGGGCACCTACCAGCTGCTGGATCCGCTGCCGCTCTGTCTCCGGGGTGAACTCAGAGCTCAGGGGTCGTACCTCATCTCTTCGCACCAAGATGGCCCTGGATGGGGTTGGGGAGGAGGAGAGGTCTGTGTGGCAGCCACCACCCTTGCCCATGGCCTCCCTCCTGCTGGCCTCTCCTCCAACCACCAGGGGCCAGCTCTGCCCATGCTAATCCTTTGCTCAAAGCCCATCATGACTGCCTGGGGTCTGCAAGGTAGAGGCTCAGCCCTTTGGCTGGCATTTGAGGTCCCTGCCTTCCCTGGCATCTGCTGTCCACCCTCACACTTAACACATGCCAGGTACACAACTCCGCTGGTCAGTCCTACCCAGTTCCATCCCTCTACTTCCAGCCCCACTTTCACTGTCTCCACTGCCTCTGGTGCCTGCCTGTTCGCCCCACTCCTACCCACCCTTCAGGGCTCACTCACCTGCTATCCCCGGCATTGGCCACGTACAGCTTTCCCTGCAGGGACACAGCCACCAGGGCTGTGCAGCCGCCCACCTGGCCTGAGGCCTCCAGCTCCCGCCCGATCACCTCATCCTGGGGTAAACCAAGGCCACTTTAGCTGCTGCTTGTACTGCCACCTTACCACTGTCCCCCGATCTCCTCCCTACAGTTCATTTCCCCACCAGCAAGCACAGCAGTTGCAGCCCAAAATCTAGCTATGACTTCAGGATCCCTTTGGTCAGGAGATCTAGACGTAGCGTTGGGAGGAAGGGAAGTCCTACTCAAAACAGTGAGGAAGGGAAACCAGTCCTTGCACTAAGGACCAAGAGGGTGTGCAATGAGATGATGCAGATAGCACATAGTAGGCGCTGGATAAATGGGAGGGGTTATGACAACAATGATGGCCGTTAGTAATGAACAAACCAACCAATCTTGTCCTCCCAATCTAAAGATGTAGGGTGACCACCATCATGTGTAGGGATGCCTCCCAACCCAGAGCTCCCTCAGGTCCCTGGGGGCAAAACCCTCCCTCCTTTCCCAGCCAAAGGCCACACTCACACACTCCTGGAAGGCGCTCTCCAGAGCCCCGATCACCAAGTCTTCTGCCCTAATGCCTTTTTCCTCCACAAACTGGGGGTCACTGGGGCAGATGCAGTGGCCGCTGAGGTGCATGGGGGGCTGAGCGGCTACCATTCCCTCTACCACGGCCTCCAGCTGCCGGCGCAGGCAGGAGTGCAGGGTGTTGGCAGCCAAGATGGCTGCAGCTGGACCGCCGTGCCCATCAAACAATGCCCAGTAATGACCCGTCAGGAACTGTACAGGAGGAGCTTAGCGTCAGGCTCTGCCTGGCCTCCCGTGTCCCTGGGCCCAGCATGGGGCAGCAGGACAAGAACTTGCAGTCTTGGCCCCTGCCTGCAAGACAGGCTCAAGCCCAGTTGTGCTCACCTCCTCTGGGCACAAGGTCAGCCACTCTTGGTCCTCTTCAGCCCCAAACTCACATCGCCGGATGCACAGCTTCCCACAGGAGGCCTGATCCTCATTGAACTCAGATTTCTCTGCATTGATGATCCTGAAGCCAGGAAGTGATCAGTGATCCTTCAGGGACACACACATGTCCCCATGGGCACAGAGACTAAAGCTGGTACACAGAAGGAGAGGCCCTCCCTATGACCCACATGGACAAACACAGTGGAAGTTTCCTAACTCTTCAGTGACATCACGGCTAAAGTAAAACTCAGGGCCCAGCTCCTCTGGAGCCTACCTCCTGACCTGTGCTGCCCCTAGACATCTGGGTCTTCCTTGCCTATCCCCTGCCCCACCTCAGCCAGAATCTCTGTCCTTTATGGCACAGGCCACAACCCAGGTGAGATGGGGGGAAGGGGGCAGGCGAGGGAGGCGTTCTCTTTCTACCCAGTCTCCCTGCTTCCATCTTGGAAGCCCCTGGGACGCAGATCCTTCCTGACGTCAACCCTCTCTGGGCGAGGGTGGAGGCCCAAGGAAAAGGCCGAGGTGAGATAGGGGGAGGGTGTCAAGAGTCCCGAGGTGAGGACTAGAAGGAGTTATTCACAAGGTTGGGGGGGGTCACCCACTCAGCCTGTTTCCTAGGTTAGCACAGGACCCCAGGCTGGATCAGCAAAGGTCCGGGGTCGGAGGTCCCGGGGTAAGGGTCGCCTGGAGTGGGGAGTATCCCGGATGGGGGTCGCTCCGGGGTGGGGGCACTCACTCGGCGTAGCCTGCGTTCCAAGGCAGCGCGCGGCCCCGTGCTGGGCTGCGCACGGGCCGGGCGTCCGGGCGGCGGGAGGCGTCGGCAGGGCCGGGGCCTGAGCCGGAGCCGCGCAGGAAGCGAGGCCGCCGGTAGGGCACGGGGCTAGCGCGCGGCCTGGACGGCCCGGGCGCGGAGAGCAGACCCCCAGGCAGGAAGCGGCGCCGGAACCAGCCGGCGGACATGGCGCGGCGGCAGGGGGCTGCCCGCCGGGCGCCGGGAGGCGGGTGCGGCGGTGGGTGGGCGGGACATCACCCGCCAGCCCGCCCCTGGGAGGAAGAAGCGGGCGGGGCGGGGCGGGGCGGCGACGCCCCCAAACCCCAACCTCTGTCCGGGGAGTCTGGGCGCGGCTTGAGTGCCATTGGGCTTGTCAGTCCTCATAACAACCCTAAGAAGCAAACGATGTTATCAACCCCACTTTACAGGCAAGAAAATTGAGGCCTAGAGAGGCGAAGTCGCTTGCCCCACGTCACACAGTAACCTAAGCCGACCGAATGCTCACCACACGGGTGGGGCACTAGTCTTTGAGAGAGAAAAGCCCCTCCTCCTCACCCAGCGCGGCTGTAGGAGTCGGTTCAGAGCACCCCCTGGGCCTCCAGACTGGGTCAGTGTCCATGACAGAGCCCACCCCTTCTGCTGCTGGGCCCAGATCTTACGCAAGGGGAAGATAGGAACAGGATGTTCTTGGAGGTGTCAGACTGACACACTGAGTAAGAGTCTCGGAGCACAGCGTTCCCTCAGGTGGCCTCCATTCCTTGCCCACCCAGCCTGGCACCCTCCACGCCCAGATGCGGCTTGGTGGTCACCCTGGCCTTCCTCATCCTGAGACACCACTCTCATCCTTGGGGCCAGTCTCCCAAATGACTGCCCCTCCAATCAAGATGTCCTCTCTGGACAGACAGCAGGATTCTCACCTAGAATGTAGTGTCTGATGGACAAGAGGAACCCATGGTCCCCAAAAGGCTCCAACTGGTCAGAGTTCAGACCTGGGACTAAGGCAAGTGAAAGACTTTCATCTGGGCTGGAGGCAAGACGTCGGAGTCTCTTAACCCCTGGCTAGCTGTCACTGTGGGTCAGTGGCAGTGTCCCCCTTCACATCTGCATGTTAACACAGGGCTTTGTCACCCTTCCGTCACTTAAGCCCGGCTCCCTTTGCAGGACTTATTTCAATCTCATAACTAGGACTCTGTGGCCCACAGAGGGGAAGTGTCCTGATGCCCAGAGCTGTGTTGTTTCCATTATGACAGTGCAGCTGACTCAAAACACCTCATAGGGGATTTCTCTTCCCCTTTCCTCCTCCGGGAAGGCAGGCTTGTCAACTCAAAGCCCCTGAGGCCCACAGCCCAGGGTCCCCAGGGAGGGCTACAGGAGGAGCCCCCTTCCTGTGTCTCCACTCTCAAGCCCAGCAAATGCTCACTAGGCCCCACTTCCTCCTGGTGGCCAGCCCTGCCCCATTGGGAGTTCCATTCCCATTACTAACCCCGGCTCAAGGAGGAAGGGTCTTGGAGCAGGGAGTGGTGCCCAATGCCTCCTCCCTCCCATGACTCAGTTCCAGAGCAGCCTCGGGGCTAATTTACTGAACCCACTGTGTGTGCCAGACCCCACCTGGGTGCAGGAGCACTGAGATGAGCTCCCCTGCAGTGAAGGTGGAAGTTCTGGTGGATGGTGCTTGATCCAGCTGGCAAGGGGGTGGGAGCAAAGTCAGAGAAAGCCTCCCAAAGGACAGATGAGCTATGATCTGTCATTGGGACAGAAATGGACCAGAGACCCAAGGTGGGACAGATTCAATTCAGTATGTGGGGTCACCTCCTTATCCTCACCAGCCAAAGGCTCAGAGGCTTTTAAAGTCTAAAATTAGAGGAAGCGATGCAAACACAGTCTATTCCCCCAACCCACTGTCTTGGACTCCCCGGGGTAGGATGAAGGTCCTGTCCTCTAAGGTGTATTCAGAGAAGCTCCTGGCAGCCAGATATCACAATTGCCCAGTTTAGCTATTTTTGAGTTTTCAGAGCCATGTGGAGTCCTATGGCAATCCCATCCTCCCTGTTCCAAGGTGGCCTGTGTTTCTTCAGTGCCACCCAGGCTCTGGCTTGCCTGGATCACAAGTCTGACTCTCTTGGTTTCCTCCCTCATTTTGCTGAAGCACATCCTCTAACAGCTTTCCAAGATAGGATGACTGGAAGATAATTTCTTGGGTCCTTACAAATTTGAAAGGGTTGTATTCTGCCTCTGCTTTTGATTGATATTTTACCTCAGAATCCTGACTGCTCTGTTCATTGTCTTTTGGTTGTTGCCGCTGCTACAATCCAGAGCCCCTCTCATTCCAGATCTTTGGACTGGCTTGTTCACCTCTTTTTTCTCTCCAGAAGCTTCCAGGTTCTTCTGTCTCTGATGTCTGAAATTGTAGGTGAGGTTCCTTGGAGGGAGTCTGTCTTCATTCCTGGGCTGAACCCTCCCTGAAGGACATGTAAATCCTCCCCTCCCCTCCCCCCCTCACTCCCCACCCAGCCCCCAGTGACACCCTTCTCCCAACTGCTCGAATGAACCCAAGCCTGCCCCCTCCTGGCCAGAGGCCTCTCCTCAACTAACTCCACCAGCATATGAGGGTCGGAGGGTGGGGGAGGAGTAAACTTAGAAAAAGGAAAAAGATCTTTATGCTACATTTTTTTCACTCACAAAGAAAATAGCTTTTGTTTACTCCTATAACTGTTCTTAATAAGATTTATTTTAGATTTAATTTTTTAAATGTAATACTTTCACAGGACTCAAAGTTCAAAAGGTGTAAAAGTGTATTTAGCAACAAGTCTCCCCGGCAACCCCATCCCCGGGCCACCCAGTCCCCTTCCCTGGAGACATCCAGTATCACTACTTTCTTGTGGATCCTTCCAGAGATGTCAGGGGTATTCTGTGCAAATCAAGCAAAAAAATGACATATAAGACAAGAAATAAGTGCTGGTGAGGATGTGGAAAAAAGGGAACGCTTGTGTACTGTTGGTGGGAATGTAAACTGGTGGTGTCACTATGGAAAACAGTACGGAGGTTCCTCAAAAAATTAAACATAGATCTACCATATGGTTCAGCAATTCCACTTCTGGGTATTATCTGAAGAAAATGAAATCATTATCTTGAAAAGATATCTGCACCCCTAAGTTCAAGCATTATTTACAACAGCCAAGACACAGAAGCAACCTAAGTGTCCATTGATAGATGAATGGGTAACATGTGGGGGCTGGTCCCCTGGCCGAGTGGTTAAGTTCGTGTGCTCAGCTTCAGCGGCCCGGGGTTTGCCAGTTTGGATGCCAGGTATGGACCCGCACGCTGCTCATCAAGCCATGCTGCGGCAGCATCACACAGAGAACTAGAATGACCTACAACTGGGATATACAGCTATGTACTGGGGCTTTGGGGAGAAAACGAAAATAAGTGAAAATTTAATTGCTTATTTGATGAATTTGTTTAGGGAGAAATTTCTAACTTTCAGTTTATGAGTCTAACCATGTTCAACTATTTCTCAAGTTTTCCATGGTGAAGTGGAGCATGCGAACTTAACTGCTCAGACACGGGGCTGGCCCCTGTATTTCCTTTTCTGTGGATGGTCTGTTTGTATCCTTTGCCTGGTTTTCTACTGGGCTGTTGGTCTTTTTCTTATTGATTTATGAGAGCTCTTTATTTGGAAATGAGTTACAAGTATGTTGTTTGTAGCCAGTTACAGTTTGTTGTTTGTGTTTTGGCTTTAATGCTGGGTTTTTCCTTATAGACTTTTTATTTTAATGTAAATGAACTTACCGATTTTTTCTTTTACGGTTTCTGGATTTGGTGATATACTCAGAAGGCCTCCTCCACTTCGAGATTCTATAAACTTCTCCTTTTGTTTCTCCAGTATTTTTTTTTTCAGATTTTTTTTTTTCCTTTTTCTCCCAAATCCCCCTGGTACATAGTTGTGTATTTTTAGTTGTGGGTCCTTCTGGTTGTGGCATGTGGGATGCCGCCTCAGCGTGGCCTGATGAATGGTGCCATGTCGGCACCCAGTATCCAAACCAGTGAAACCCTGGGCTGCCGCAGCAGTGTGTGAACTTAACCACTCGGCCATGGGGCCGGCCCCTCTTCAGTATTTTTATAGTTCGCTTTTTTTTTAACATTTAAATCTTCGAGCAACCTGGAAAAAAAAGGTATGCTCTAATAATTTCAGTGGCTGATTCTTTGTGTTGTGAAACATCAGAAAGGAACAATCAACTTACTTCTGAAGACTCCATTCACCCCTGGACTCACCTGAGGGGCTGCGTGCAGCTTTCTCCTCCTTCTGGTGAAAGATCTCAGTGGCAGATTGAGTCGGCCTGCGTACTCTGCTGGCCCTTGGGCTCTTTACCCGCATCCCAGGCTCTGAAGCTGAGCAGGACTGGGCTCCGATCCCCGTCACCCAGGAGGCTCTCTTCCGTGGTTAAACCCTCATCACTGAGGTGTGGGAGGCTGCTGGAGGGGACGAGGGCTGCTGCCCTATAGGACTTCTCATCCTTTGACTGTGTCAAGGTCTTGAGTAAAGGAAACTAAGGTTCTTGGGGACACTCACTACCATGTGACCCAGATCAAATCACTTTACCCCTCTGAACGTCAGATTCTTCATCCGTAAGAAGGAGACGATAACAACTACCTCGTAGGGGTGTCATGAGGATTAAATCAATGTGCCCAGCATGCAGTAACACTTCGCAACAGAAAGACTCTAATGGTTCATTCATATGTTTGTTTATGTGGCCTATATTACTGAACACCTACCAATGCTGGGCAGTGCTCTAGGTGTCGGGATACAGCAGGGGCAAAAACTTGAGGGAAGGGAAGACACTAAACAAATACGCAGGTAAATATATGTATCAGAGAGCAATAAAAACAAAGAGAATGAGGCAGGGAGGGGTCCGGGGGCAGGGAGACCTTGCAGTTATGCTAGTCACAGTTCATGCACTGATGGACATTTTTATGGGAATATAACCTTATTATTTTTCTTTAATCTGTTTTCTTGGCTAATTCCTGTTTCTAAGAAGTTGAGGCCCTCACGGTTCTGTGGAATTGCCACTTGCCCGTGGAGGTGGCTGGGTGTGAGAGTGGATATAACCAATGGCTCTGTGTTGCTGGCCCCATCTGGGCTGCGGCAGGATTCTGAGTGGGGGGGCTTTGCTTATGAGCTGTTCTCCCAAAGTCAGGCTGCAGGGCCACACAGGGTTTTTATGTTCCATTGTGAAGGCTGGGGAGGTCATGGTGAGCGCACTGCACAGGCCCAGTACTCAGGGTGCGCACAGGAAGATGAACGAGAAAATCCTTCCATTTTGTGTGTGCTGGACTCTCAGGAGAGAAACCCAGGGCCTGGGGCCCACAGAGTGGGGGGCTCAATGCTGCCTAATCAGGGTAGGGGAGTGGGACAGTGAGCAGAGAGCTTGAGCCGAGGCCAGTTACCAGGCAGGCCCACACTCCACCATCAACTCTCAACAACCCCTAACCCAAAAGGTGGCTTCCTTTCCAATCTTCCCACCCAAAGTCCTAGGAGAGGCTCTGATTGGACTCACTGGGGTGGTCTGGAAGATACATTATGTGGACTGGCTGGTAAGAGCAGCAGGGTCTGATTCCAGAAAAGGCAAGGATGCTGGGTATGGAGCCGGTACATTAGGAGTAGGGAACTTCTTCAGACACACCAAGCTCTGGCCCTCCTTCAACCTCTGGGCCTTTGCACATGCAGTTCCCTCTTCTTAGAAAACTATTCCTTGCACTCTGCCAGGCCGACCTCCAAGTCTCCACTCAAATTTCTCCTCTTCCTAGTGGCCCCTCAGTCTCTGCGTAGGGCCCTCGCCGCCACAGACACCGTTCATTTGCTGGCTTCCTGGTAGGTCAGTCTGGGCTCCCACCGCTGACGAAGGCCGCCTCGAGGTGCCCAGTGCCCAGCATGAGGCGCTCAGGAACCATCTGCAGGGAAAGGGATGCCACACATACACGCGCGCCCATCCACACGCAGACCCTCTTCCAGGCCACACATGGGGGTACGCGAGGATCCCACCACACTTGCAAACTCACCTGGCCCCAGGCGCACATACTCGCGCGCACGCACAGACACACCCCAGCCGCAGACCATTCGGAACAGGGCTCACAGACATAGGCGCATGCGCCCACGCACGCTCCGCCACACGCAGTATCCGTCCTCCGCTACAAACAGAGGTACACGCAGGCGCGCAGAGAACTCCCAGCCGGACGCCTACCCGAAACAAGGCGCACACTGCACGCACGCGCGGCCCCGGGTCCCCGCCCCCTCCCGGCCTAGCCCGTCGGGGGCGGGGCGCACTGGGGGCGGGTCCTGCGGCACCGCCCGGGAAGCTGCGCGCGGCTGGGCGGCCGCCGCCACATCCTCCCCTTCCTCCTCCTCCTGGTCCAAGCCAGCCGAGTGGGGCCAGGGCCAGGGCCGAGCCGAGGGCTCCGAGGGTGCGGGCGGAGCGAGGCACAGAGCCATGGCGCACCAGACGGGCATCCACGGTGAGGGCAGATGGCGGGCGGGCAGGGGGCGGAGGGTCTCCGCTCGCGGCTGCGCCCCCTCCCCGGCTCTCAGCCCGTCTCCTCCCCGGCACTGGCCGGGGGAAGCTTCCTGTTCTCTTTTGCAGCCGCGGGTCGCCTGGGGTGGGCACATCTGGGGGGATGCGGACTTCCTGTACATAGTTGGGAGTGGGTGTACACGTACGTACACAGCTGGGGTGGAAGTATCTGTGTGCCCATCTCGGGGTGGATGTGCCTGTGTATGCCCATCTATATGTTTTTCCTTTCTGGGGGCGGTTGTACCCGGATGTGCACATCTGGAGGAGTGTGCACGCATGTGCACTTGTCTTGTGTGTGCACATCTGGATGTGACTGCTTGTGTATGTCTAGGGTCATTCATGCACATGCACTAATGGCTGATTGAATGGACTGTGTCTCATGGAGCCTTCTTTAGACATCACTGTTTCGTGACTGTGTGCATAAGTCTGTGGGTGTGTGTGTGTGTGTGTGTACAATTTGTGTGCGTCTCAGTGCATTTGTTACCATGGATGCATGTACCAGATGTGTCCATATGGCTTGTATGGGTTTGTGCCTGGGTGAGGAGTAGGCCTTGACCTTTCACACACTCCCACAAGGGAAGCTGGGGAAAACCTGGGACAGGGCCCTCCAAGTGGCATGGGGAGAGTCACCAATCTCTCCTTGACCTCTGGTCTCCCTGCCATTTTCCACTCTGATCTCCTGAGTCTGCCCCAGGCAGGGTTAGAAGGTCCCCACTCCAGGCTGGAGGCAGAAAAGAGGGTCCAGATATAGGGTTTGTTGGGGAGGATCCTGGCACTGGAGACTCCAGGCCAGCTCACCCCACCACAACCTTCTCCAGCCCACAGCATCAGCCCCATCCCCCAAGGGCCAGATTTCCTCCTTACACAGACTCGTGGATAAGCAGTGGCCAGGAGCCAGGTGTTCTGACCCTATCTGGGCCTCAGTATCCCCTTCTTGTCACTAGCTGGGGAGGGCTGCCTGGCCTGAGGGGAAGGCCCAGGCTGCTTGCCCAGAAAGCCTGCGGTTTGGCCATCAGCCACTCCTCCCACCACACCAGGATCCCTTGCCTGGGGCCACCATCATCGACCTGCCTGACCACCTGGATCTCAACTCACGGTTGTGGCCACTTGGTGGCTGGACCGCCTTGAGAGGATTTCCCTGGCTCCACCCCACAGGACCAGAAAAGGCAGGGGCCTGGACAGGGCCAGCCTCCCACCATGTGGGCCAGCCTCTCTCTAGGAGGAGCTGGAGGGGTGGCTTTTTGACTCAGTCCCATGGAAAGGAACAGCTGCCTGGCCTGCCCCTTCCTTCCCCTTTTTCTAGTCATTGTTGCTGCTTCCTACTGGGAGAGGATCAGAAGTAGGGTTCCTCCTCCCTCCACCAGGCTGACAGGTCCTGTGGCCAGGGCCATGCCCCACTCCCTCATTTCCTATATGGTGAGACAGGCCTGCCTAGGGGGTCACCGGGGACGGGGCCACCCCCAGCCCGCCTTCTGCCTGTGAGCAGCCAATTCCTTCCCTTTTCTGGTCTAGGGAGGTTGCAGGAGAGATCACCCTGGATGCCCAGTGCCAGCCCTGTCCTGGCCATAGGTGTGGATCTGCTGACCTCAGAGCAGGGCAGGGGAGGGACCTGTAACCTGAGGCCTACCAGGGCTGAGGTGGGCAAGGCAGCAGGAGCGGGGGGCGGGGGGTGGGGGGCATGAATCTTTGATGATAGAGGCTCAGGTGTCCCAGGCCTGGCCTCTGGATTATTGATGGTGGCTGAGGAGGCATGGAGAGGGATGTCTCTTCTACTACTGGGGTGTCACTTTGTCCTGGTAACACTAGAAGGGATGTGTCAGCCTCTCCCTTGGGGGAGCTTCTTGGTTTTCCCTCTCAGAAGGTCTGAGCAGGAGGAAGGGGCAGCTTAGCGCACCCTGCCCCTCCATTGTTAGAGTAATAATAATTAATAATTATTAGTAGTAGAGGCCCCCATTACCGAGCACTTTCTCCCATTTACTCCTCACACAGCCCTCTGCAGTTTGGGAGTGTTGGCTCCATGTTATGGATGAGTTTGAGGTTCAGCGAGGTCAGAGGTCACACGCAGCTATGGGAAAGGTGGAGCCCCAGAGGCCAGGCTGTTCAGCAGGGACCTGCTTGGGGGTCTGCTCATGGGTAGCTCTGTCCTGGGATAGTGGGGCTGTGTCTCCTGCCATGCTGCTGTGAGCCCCGGGGGCCTGCTGGGCTCAGTTGGCCACCCAGCAGCCTTGGAGGGTAGTACACAGCCTGAGGTCTCGGGTTTAGGGTCACCCTGCATGAGGGGCACCTGAGGACATGAACAGAGTTTGTTTTCCTAAAGGCCCCCCCGCCCCTGAGCTGCCCAGTCTGGGCCCTATAAATATTCTCTGACCTCAGCCCTCCAGCTGTGTTCCTGCAGAATCCTCCTGACCCTGGGGCAGCCTCAAGGTCATGCTGGCCTGGCCCTACATACCTAGAGACCCAAGTAGGGCCCTTCCCCACTTGGACCTTGGTTTTCCCCTTGGAACCACTTGTGGATCTGTGACTTCTCATGGTTCCTGGCTCTGGTCGTGATCCTCACCTCTGCACTCGGGTCCTTGGTTATTGGCTGTCACCTTCCAGCTCTGTGGCTCAAGGACCAAGATAGGGCCTGTTTGGGAGAGTTCCTGAGAGCCACTCCTCTTCCAGGAAGACTTCCTGACTGCCTGGGGGTTGGGGGTTTGTTGCCCCCTGGTAGGGCAGTGCCAGGGCTAGACTAGCTCCTCAGGGCCTCTCAGGGTTAGGCAACCTGACTGTAGGCTGGGGCTGGGTATGCACGCATGGGTGTCACTGTGGGCCAGTGTACTTCTGGGTGTACTTTGTACATCTTCCTGCCTGCACATGTGTCTTAGGTACGCTCTGCGTTTGCCCGTCTGTGTGTTTGTGAGCACCCTGGGACTGTATCCCCATGTGTGTTTGCATGTCTAAGTGTGTGTGTCTGTTTATGTTTGGCCAGCAGAGTGTGTGTTCATGGACGAGGGTGTTTGCATTTCTCCTCCTCTCTCTGACACATTCACGTGTTTATGTGTTACATTCACACATGCTGGACTGAGTATGTACCCGTTGGCATGTGCAGCGTGCAATGCATGCATGCATGTGTGCGTGTGTTAATGGACATAGTGGTCAGTGCATATTGGGAGCGTTTGTTCATGTATTTCTGTGCCTGTAGATATGACAGTGCTGAGAGTGGCCCAGGCCAGCCCAGTGCCAGGCCTTCCTGAAGGGCAGGGGACAGGCAGGAGCCGTTCACTCTGGCTGGCCTGGCCTGCCCCAGAGCCTGCCCCATCCTTGGGTGGGCTGTCTCATCCACACCCACCCCGTCACCAAAGCTATCCCAGCCAGCAGGCCAGCCGCCTGCCACCTCTCCTGGCTAAATTTGGGAGCTTGTGTTCAGCAGTCTCAGGTTCCCAGTCACATGGGGGACTGTATTTAACCCGGCTCCCAGCTCTGCCACCAGACCCCACAGGACAGAGCAGGCCCTGCACGTGTCCCTTCCCACCCTGCTCATTCTGCCTGTTCATCCTCCACCATGTTTCTTGTTCTTGTAGCCACTGAGGAGCTGAAGGAATTCTTTGCCAAGGCACGGGCTGGCTCTGTCCGGCTCATCAAAGTCGTCATTGAGGACGGTGAGTGCCCCCTACGGGCTAGGGCATAGGCTGGGGGCTGGACCTAGTTGCTTCTCTAGGAGGTGTGGAGACCTTGGCCTCCAGCCCCCTCAGGACCTCAATTTCCCTATCTGGGAAAGGAAGGTGGCTTGTAGGAGAGTGTTGGAGGTAGGTGTGATCATTACTCCTGTTATATGGAGCAGGAAACTGAAGCTAGGGGCATAGCAAGGAGAACCCTGCCCAGGGGTCCTGCCCAGCCTTCCCGGGGCTATGTAGGAATTAGACGAGCCTAGTCAGGACACTGGGCCGGGCTGGGCAGGGGACAGGAGATAAGTGAGGCTGGGCACTGTCTCATGTGGCTAGTGCCACTCACCTCCATCTGTGGTCGGCAGGCCTGGCCCGAGTTGAGCACTGGCCAAGGAGAGACCTAAGGAGAAGCCGAGGCCCTGTCCTTGGGAAGTGCCCCCACGACGGGGAGAAGGGACTCATGTCCAGGTCGCGTTGAGAGCAGGACCAGGGGATTCCAGGCTTGGCTGGGCCTTGGTCTGGACCCTCAGGACCTAGGGCTTACGCAGGGGGAGCTGCTAGGAGTATAGGAGTTGGGGGGGGCGGTGAGTTTGAGCTTAGGCCTGAAGTGGGGAGGGTTTGAGGAGGCAGAGACTTATACTGAGGCTTGGAGGGGCCAGGAGTGGAGGATCCCTCACCCTTCCATGCTAAAGGTCCATCCGTGGAGGTGAGGGCTACAGACTCTGGGGATGGGGGTGGGCTGGGTCTCCCACAGGCCCTCCCAGCCCTTCTTGGAAGCCATGCAGTAGTGGGCCCTTTGGGGGTCTCTCTGATGGGCTTGGTGCCCAGCTGACTTTTCACACATTGAATTGGCTCAGAGCAGGGTCTGCCCAGACCCAAAATTCACCCCAGGCTTTTGGGTCAGAGCTGTGCTGTGCTTTGTCCGGGGTCCCCAAATTCAGATTCCCTCAGAAGCTGGGTTGGGGTCATTGTGGTAGGTCAGGAGTGAAGGTTTCCTGGGTGGCAGGCCACAGCCTCCAAAGAGAGAGACTCCTTGACCCTAGTCCTCAGCCCTCCCTGTCGCCTCCCAGACAAGATGTCCCTACAGATGTTTAGCCAGAGGAATCTCTAGGTGGGCTCCTATCTCCATTCTGCATTACAGTTGTTGGGGTGCCTGGAAGTGCCCAGGGGGGTCCAGGCCCCTGATAGACAGCCACTGCCCATCTCCAACTGTGTGTGGCTTGAACTCCTGATTTTTCTAGAGAAACCGTGATTTCTACTTCTTATGTGAAACTTCCAAGTTTGAAAATGTTGGCAACAAATTAAACAATGTTGACAGTGCTTTGGGGGCCAACTCAGCCTGTGAGTGCTTGTTTTCAAGCTCGATGCCCTCAGAGTTCTGGGAGGGCAGGTGAGGAGGTCAAGGCCCACAGAAAGGCAGCTGGGCTGGTGGGCCTGGCATGTTGGGGCTACTGGACAGCTGGGCCCCTTTCCCCCATCAGGAGGGCCTGGTGGTCACGTGCCAAGACCCCATGGCCAAGTGGTAATTGTCCCCTTGCCCTAGTTCTTCCTCCAGCCTGGGCCTGTGGCCTGGTAGGTGAAATATATGTCTGGCCTCGATGTCGCTTTCAGCCATACTGTACCAGCCAGGGAAGTGGTAGGCCTTTTGGTCCCTGGCATTAAGAAGCTGGCTGCTTTTGCTTTGTTACTTTTTGGGGAGGGGACTACAGCTGTTGGGTGGCAGCAGGGCACTTAGTTATACAGTGTCTGGTGGGAGCCCCTGTCTCCCTCTTTCTCACATACTTTTGCTCCTGCAGGTCCCTGTGGCCTGAGGCTGTGACCCCACCTCCCTGAGCACATTTGTTCAGAGAAGGGTCTTCTAGGGGTTCTCTTGGAGCCCCAGGCTGAGGGAGGAGGGGAGCAGGAGGTGGCATAGTGGGTCCATATGCTGAGCAGCTGTGCTAGTAGGGTGGGGTCTGAGTGTGGGTATATGTGGAGGGCCGCATTGTTGGTGATGGTGGGCACAGGGCTATGTGTCCTCATGTGGTTGTCTGTGTTGGGTCATCTGTGGGCATATTCTCGCAGCCATTTCTGTGCATGTGTGTGTGTGCATGTGTAGTGGGAGCAGCCTCTAGCTGACAGCTTTGTGCCCTCATTCGTTCACTCACTCACTGATTCAGCCACACAGCCTTGTCCCTCAGGGACTTGGGGGCTCCAGGGGAAGCTGGTGGGGTGACTAGCAAGTCTGGACCACAACCAGAGGCTAGAGATCCACAGTCAGAGGTGGGTGTGGGAGATGGCTACTCCTTGGCTCACCCGGCCTCTGCCCCCAGAGCAGCTTGTGCTGGGTGCCTCACGGGAGCTGGCGGGCTGCTGGGACCAGGACTATGACAGGGCTGTGCTGCCGCTGCTGGATGCCCAGCAGCCCTGCTACCTGCTCTACCGCCTGGACTCGCAGAACGCCCAGGGCTTCGAGTGGCTCTTCCTCGCCTGGTCACCTGATAATTCCCCTGTAAGTCCTAGGGACCCCTGCCCAACCCCAAGATCGGGGGTGGGGGGATGGAAGCTGGGTCTGAGACAGGTAATATGGCCCTGCCCTGGGGAGTCTGAGGGGAGAGACATCAGGTCCTGCCCAAGAGAGTCTGAGAGAGGGACAAGGCCCTGTGCTTGGAGCCTGGGCTCTCTCAGCCCTCCCGGTCCCATCAGCCTGGCTCTGGGAGGCAGAGGTTGCGCTGGGTGAGGGCTCCCCCTGCTGTCCGAGCTGCCCTACTGTATCCTGTCCTCTGTGCTACGCCCTCTGCTGGGTGCATGGCCACGATGATGAGATGATCAGGTCCCTGTCTAGAGGCTTCTGCCTGCTCCTGGAGAGGCAGCCCTGCCCGGAGGGGTCTCATGGCTTGGCCCCTGCCCTTCAGGTGCGACTGAAGATGCTGTATGCAGCCACACGAGCCACAGTGAAGAAGGAGTTTGGGGGTGGCCACATCAAGGATGAGCTCTTTGGGACTGTGAAGGTAACCGCCCCAGGCCAGAACCCACCAGGCCGGGATCATGGGCCCACAGTGGGTGGGATGTTATGCAGGGTCACAGAGCAAGTGGGTGCCAGGCTTCAGGATGAGTGGAGAGGGCTGGGAGAGTCCAGTGGCTGCAAACTGGGGTGCTCTGTGGGCTTCTACACGCACCCCTGAGATGCCCATTTATGCCTCTGCATCCACCGGCCAGGATGACCTCTCCTTTGCTGGGTACCAGAAGCACCTGTCGTCCTGTGCAGCACCTGCCCCGCTGACCTCGGCCGAGAGAGAGCTTCAGCAGATCCGTATTAATGAGGTGGGTCTGCCCAACAGGGTGAGAAGTGGCAGCCCGAGGACCTTGAGGTCACATCAGGCCCACTTGGCTGAGCCTATGCTCTCCAGGTAGGCTACACCCTGGTTTGGGCAGGTGAGGGCCTCATTTACTGTTCACCTGCCCCCAGGTAAAGACAGAGATCAGTGTGGAGAGCAAGCACCAGACCCTACAGGGCCTTGCCTTCCCACTGCAGCCTGAGGCCCAGCGGGCACTTCAGCAGCTCAAGCAGAAGATGATCAACTACATCCAGCTGGTGGGTGCCCGTTCCCTGCCCCAGGCACACACATGGGCGCATTGTGCCACCCCTGCTCCTGCTCATACGCATGTACAGCTGCGCGCACGCACACACCCCAGCTCACCTGGGTACTTGTGGGAACACACTGTCCACCCCGCCCCCGTCCCTACCTAGTCCCATTTCGTGTGCAGCTGCTGTGTACTGTGGATGCGCTCTGTTTCCCTGCCCTGCCCTGCCCAGCCCCTGCTTACATGCAGGGGCGTCTAGGAGACACTGTCCCTCATTCTGCCCTCCACACTCTGTATACGTACTCACCCTGGATTCACTGACCTCTTGGCCCTGAGCTCCTTCCTGTCCCAGACTCCCTCTGCAGTCCCCTGACCACCCCCTTTCCCCGGGGAGGGTCCCTCTGCCCCAGTATTCCAGTCAGCCCCCTTTTAAGCAGAATGGTTCCTCCCTTCCAAGGTGTGTCCCCCAGAGGCCTTGCCTCTGAGGATGAGCCGGCCCAGTGGTGGTCCCTCCCTGAGGTCAAGGCCCTCCCCACTCTCCTGTCCTCTGCCCTTGGTAGGACTTCCTCCTTTACGGGAGCTTTCAAAGGGGCAGACTAAGGGCTAGGCTGAGGAGTGGCCTCTGCAGAGGGGCCCCCATGGTGGGATGGCCGCTGGGAGGGGAGTCCTGGAAGAGGGAGATCAAAAGCAGGCTCCACCCTAGTTCCTGCTGCCAGTGCATCGCGTTTTGGAGAATTCTTGTTTGGGAGGATGGGCCTGGACCTCCCGCACCTGGTGCCCTCACATCTCCCCCTGCACCTTGGCAGAAGCTGGACCTGGAACGGGAGACAATCGAGCTGGTGCACACAGAGCCCACGGATGTGGTCCAGCTGCCCTCGCGGGTGCCCCGAGATGCTGCCCGCTACCACTTCTTCCTCTACAAGCACACCCATGAGGGTGACCCCCTCGAGTCTGTGGGTGAGTGGCCACAGCAGGGCCCCCACTCCTGTGGCAGGCAGGAGCAGGTCTGGCCCACAGCTGGTGGGCCTGCTGCAGGGGGTGTGGGTCAGCAGGTTTCCCAGGCTCACCTCCCCATCCCCCACAGTGTTCATCTACTCAATGCCGGGGTACAAGTGCAGCATCAAAGAGCGCATGCTCTACTCCAGCTGCAAGAGCCGCCTCCTCGACTCTGTGGAGCAGGACTTCCAGCTGGAGATCTCCAAGAAGGTAGGCACCCATTCCCCAGCGCCTCACCTCCCAGGGCCCTGTCGCCCCACCCTCCATGTGGGGCACTGGAGTCCTGAGTCAACGGCAGGGTAGGGATCATCATTGCCCTATTGGATGGATGGGGAAACAGGCCCAGGGGGAGCATGCATTGCCTGAGGCTGCCCAGCTGACTGGTAGCATGGACAAGTCCTAGCTGGGGCACCCATGTCTCCCTTCCCTGGTCTGGACAGCAGGTAGGCGGTGACCAAGGCATGCAGGGCAGCAGGCCCCAGGTTCTGTTCCTGGAGGTGGCATTTCAGTTGGGGATCTGGGAGAAGACCCCAGGGCTGGGGTGTGAGAGATCAAGGGAGTGCCCCAGGAGTGGGGGTGACCAAGGGTAGTATGTGTTGGGGCCCCCCTCCATTGGGGTGACCACTGCCTTGCCCTACACAGATTGAGATTGGCGACGGGGCGGAGCTGACGGCCGAGTTCCTCTATGATGAAGTGCACCCCAAGCAACATGCCTTCAAGCAGGCCTTCGCCAAGCCCAAGGGCCCAGGGGGCAAGCGGGGCCACAAGCGCCTCATCCGTGGCCCCGGCGAGAATGGGGATGACAGCTAGGTGGCGGGCCCTGAGCCAAGCTGGCGTGTGGACTGTGAGGCCACCTACCCTCCACCCCTCTGCTCACGGCCACCTCCCTCCTTCCCAGCCTGGGCTCTGGGAGTGGGGGTTGCCTCTCATGAAGCAGGAAGGCTGGTGACTGAACACTTTTGCAGCTTCCAAGGGCCACTGGGCTGGCATTTTGTGACACCCCCCCCTTGCCACTGCTGTCACTGCCTTTCATCTGTGTGCCCAGGGCATCTGGGGACCCTGCCTGGCTAGCTCAAGGGGCTGGATGGGGGCCCTGGCATGAGCCTGGCCCCCAGGGGAACTGCGACTAGGGTCCCAGCACAGCCCAGAAGCCTTTGGCCACAAGGGGTGGGGTCAATCAGGGCTGGGGCAGGGGATCACTGCAGGACAAGATGGTTGAATGCTGTATTTTTTAAAGAATAAAATATTTTTAAATCAACACCTGAGTCTGGCCCTGAGGGACCACTGCTGTCACTGGGCATTGGGAGGCCCTGTGCATATAACTGCCCCATCCCAGCTCAGGAGGGGCCTGTCGGCCTGCTGGTGGAGCCCCAGCACTCCTGGCCACAGGCATACAGGAGAGTTTGTGTGTGTGAGGGCACAGCCTTACCCAGGTCCCCTTGTTGGCAGGGGCTCGGCCTGAGAGGCAGGCACACCTCTGCTGTGCTATGGGGGATCTGGGTGTATTAGTTACCTGTGGTTGCTGGAATGAAGTGCTACAAACTTAGTGGCTTAAAACAACACATCTCACCGCTGTCTCTTGGGTGTCTGCGTCCCTACCTCCAAGGGCCTGGGTCCCTGCTCCCAGGGACTCTGAGAGTCTCCCTCGGCCTTGGGATTCAGCAGGGGCCAGAGCTTCAGTCTATGCCTCTGAGAGGGAGTGGAAGGCCCCTCCATCCCAGGTGTGCAGGGGTGGAGATGTGTAGAGCCGATGACTGGGATTCAGCTGCTGAATGGACACTTTCCTTTCTCTTGGGAGCATGTCTTGGTCTGGGGCTCAGAGCAGTTTCCCATCCCTGGAGCCTTTCTCATGGGGCCTAGTAAAGCCTCTAGAATTGTAGGGAGGAGAGCTGGGACCCTGGCCAGGACCCAGAGAAGGAGACCTGTCCTTGTCCACCCCCACCCCCCAACAAACACTGGTTCCCAGGTGGGCAGGAAGACAATGCCATCATCCTCATGCTACCGAACACCTGGGCCTGTGAGCCAGCTGGATGCCTGGCAGCTTGGAGCCTGCCTGCCATGACAGTCACCCAGAGTTGGGCATGGAGAAGCAGGGGTGGCAGATGTCCAGCCCTGCCTCCTCCCAGCAGAAGCCATATTTGTTCATTCATTCAGTCAGTCAGTCAGTCAACCATTGCTTAGAGACACTCTCTTTGTGCCTGCCCAAAGCTGAGTGCTAGAGACTCATTGATTTTATGTGCTGGGTGCTGTGCTAGGCTATGGGGATACAGACAAAATCCCTGCCCTCAGGAAGCTGACATTCCAGCAGGGGAATAAGATAATATGCAATAAACCATGAAAAATCAATGGTATGGTGTGTCAGCAGGTAAACACAGTTATGACAAAGGAAAACAGCAGGTAACGGGGCTCAGGAGTACCAGATCCTGGGTGGGAGGTTTATAAGAAAGTCAGGGAAGGCCTTATTGAGAGGGTGACATATGAGCAGAGACACAAAGGAAGCGATGGAGGGTATATGTGAGTATCTGAGAAAAGAACTTCCAGGCAGAAGGAAGAGTATATTCAAAGGCCCTGGGGCAAGAGAGTACATGGATGCGTTTAAGCCACAGCAAGGAGGGCGGTGTGACTAGGGACCCATCAGGGAGCCAGTGGAAGGGCAGACCCCATAGGACCTTGTTGGCCATTATATGGACTGTGGCTTTGACTCCCGAAAGGGCCATAAAGGGTTCTGAGCAGAGGAGGGTCTTCATGTGTCTTAGGGGCCAAATGTGAATATGCTGTGGGGCGTGAGAGCAGAGGCAGGGCAGCTCGTGAGGGGGCAGCAACTGCTTTGGTCTAGGCTCGAGCCCAGGCTGGTGGGCGTGAAGGTGGTGTGCAATGGGCAGATTGTGGGCAGACTCCCAAGGTGGAGCCAACGGGCTTGCTGAGGGTCCCAGGTCACCCTGGGGTTTCAGGCCTGAGTAATCTGAGTCAAAATTGCCTGGGTCAGAAGGAGCGCGGGAAGAGCCTCGGAGGCCCGGCCGGCCCAGCCACAGGGTTTGTGTTCTGACAGAGCACCAGGCACATGGGGAATGCAGAAGCTGAAGCCCTGCTCCTGGAGGAAGTGACATGCCGTGCTGGAGGCATCTGCAGCCTGGGTAAGGCCAATGCTGCCTCACCCCGGCTACCTCAGGCAACACAGAGCCCTGGGGATGGGGCCGCAGGGGCAGGAAGGTCAGGTGCAGGAGCCACTGGCCTGGAAGTGCTGCCTGGGGGCAGGGACTGAGGGGGCGTGGAAGATTCCTCCTAGGCTGGGAGGGTGTGGGTGTGGCTGTCAGCATGCCCACCCAGGTCTGGCACTGCCCCTAGTTCTAATCTCTCACTGACTTCAGACTGGGCTCTGGGACTTCACCCCTCCTTGGACTTCCCAGAGCCCAGGTGTGAGGCCCAGCAGGGATGTGGTGGACTGTTCGGCCAGGCCATCAGGGGGGGGGGGGCGGGGGGGGTTGGGGGGAGTGGAAAGAGGAAGGAGTGAAGGGGCTGTCTGCCATCTGACTATGCAAATGGCCTCTGACTCATTGTACCCCTCAACATCCCGGCTATGAGCAGGGTGGCGGCAAAGGAGGGGGCTCCTAGGTTGTTGTGAAGTTCTCACTTCCTCTGTTCTCTGAGCTGTTGCCGCGTGAAGGGACTGCGAGCACAAAGCATCCTCCTCTGCAGCTGCTGCCCAGTGTGCCAGCTGGACCCTCTGGATCATCTCCCACTCCCTGTCATGGTAGGACGGCAGCCCTCAGCCCCCCCGGGAAGGGGACAGCCTGGGAAGTGGTGAGGAGAGAGGTGGGCTTGGCAGCTGCAGACAATAGTGAAAAGGGCAGTCACCCACATGGCCCTGAGGATACTGAACCCTGAAGACATCAGAGCAGAAGCCCTTCTCTGAACAGTGAGACCCAAACCCATTGTGTGCATGAGGAGGCTGAGGGCTAGGGCTGCGCTCAGTGTGGCGCTGGGGCTACAAGCAAGGTGGATGCCCAGGGCTGGGATCTGTCTGACCTTTTGCTGCCCACCCCTTCTCTGATCTATTCTGATTCATGGCAGGGCGAGTGCTCAGGCTGGGTGAGGGGGAAAGAGCTGGGCAGTGCCCACCCTAGCAGCGGTCCTGGGAGGTAGCCAACCTGGACCCCAGCAGGAGACTCTCTCTCCACCTGGGTCTTGGCCAAAAGGAGAGGAAGGCTGGTGGAGGGCAAAGGGGGCTTTTCAGGGCGGCTGGAGGGACGGGAGCCATACGCCCCCTTGCTCAGAAGGAAAGAGAAATGGCCTCTGACGAAAGGAAGGGAAAGTGGGGGAGAGCCCACTGGGCCTGCTGACTGCTTGCCCCCTGTCCTTTGCAGCTGGGGTTTGGTTATGAGTGACAGCCCTAGATCATGAGGCTGGATTCCAGGTCTCAGAACCAGTTCTGAGTCCCAGTTCTGAGTCAAAGGCTGGACCCGAGCTCAGGTTCCCCACAAGCCTTAGGAGCTAGGCTGGGCGCTGGGCAGAGAGACAGGAACCTCCCTTGGGAGGGCTGGTTGGGGGTTGGGAGCCCTGTTGGAAGGCCCCATGAAGCGGGCTGGGGGGAGGTGGGGCTGGGCTACACTCTCACCCAATCTCCACCCAACAGGGCCCTTGCCATGGTGCCCTGCAGCCCCTGTCTCTCCTGGTGCAGGCGGCCATGCTGGCCGTGGCTCTGGCCCAAGGCACCCTGCCTCCCTTCCTGCCCTGTGAGCTCCAGCCCCACGGCCTGGTGAACTGCAACTGGCTGTTCCTGAAGTCCGTGCCCCACTTCTCAGCAGCAGCACCCCGGGACAATGTCACCAGCCTTTCCTTGCTCTCCAACCGCATCCACCACCTCCACGACTCCGACTTTGCCCAACTGTCCAACCTGCAGAAACTCAACCTCAAATGGAACTGCCCGCCAGCCGGCCTCAGCCCCATGCACTTCCCCTGCCACATGACCATCGAGCCCAACACTTTCCTGGCTGTACCCACCCTGGAGGAGCTGAACCTGAGCTACAACGGCATCACGACTGTGCCTGCCCTGCCCAGCTCCCTCGTGTCCCTGATCCTGAGCCGCACCAACATCCTGCAGCTAGACCCCACCAGCCTCACGGGCCTGCATGCCCTGCGCTTCCTATACATGGATGGCAACTGCTACTACAAGAACCCCTGCGGGCGGGCCCTGGAGGTGGCCCCAGGCGCCCTCCTTGGCCTGGGCAACCTCACCCACCTGTCACTCAAGTACAACAACCTCACAACGGTGCCCCGCAGCCTGCCCCCTAGCCTGGAGTACCTGCTGTTGTCCTACAACCACATTGTCACCCTGGCACCTGAGGACCTGGCCAATCTGACTGCCCTGCGTGTGCTCGATGTGGGTGGAAACTGCCGCCGCTGTGACCATGCACGCAACCCCTGCGTGGAGTGCCCACATAAATTCCCCCAGCTGCACTCCGACACCTTCAGCCACCTAAGCCGCCTAGAAGGCCTCGTGTTGAAGGATAGTTCTCTCTACCAGCTGAACCCCAGATGGTTCCGTGGCCTGGGCAACCTCACAGTGCTCGACCTGAGTGAGAACTTCCTCTACGACTGCATCACCAAAACCAAGGCATTCCAGGGCCTGGCCCAGCTGCGAAGACTCAACTTGTCCTTCAATTACCATAAGAAGGTGTCCTTCGCCCACCTGACGCTGGCACCCTCCTTCGGGAGCCTGCTCTCCCTGCAGGAACTGGACATGCATGGCATCTTCTTCCGCTCACTCAGCCAGAAGACGCTCCAGCCACTGGCCCGCCTGCCCATGCTCCAGCGTCTGTATCTGCAGATGAACTTCATCAACCAGGCCCAGCTCGGCATCTTCAAGGACTTCCCTGGTCTGCGCTACATAGACCTGTCAGACAACCGCATCAGTGGAGCTGTGGAGCCGGTGGCCACCACAGGGGAGGTGGATGGTGGGAAGAAGGTCTGGCTGACATCCAGGGACCTCACTCCAGGCCCACTGGACACCCCCAGCTCTGAGGACTTCATGCCAAGCTGCAAGAACCTCAGCTTCACCTTGGACCTGTCACGGAACAACCTGGTAACAGTCCAGCCAGAGATGTTTGCCCAGCTCTCGCGCCTCCAGTGCCTGCGCCTGAGCCACAACAGCATCTCGCAGGCGGTCAATGGCTCACAGTTCGTGCCACTGACCAGCCTGCAGGTGCTGGACTTGTCCCATAACAAACTGGACCTGTACCATGGGCGCTCGTTTACGGAGCTGCCGCGACTGGAGGCCCTGGACCTCAGCTACAACAGCCAGCCCTTCAGCATGCGGGGTGTGGGCCACAACCTCAGCTTTGTGGCCCAGCTGCCCACCCTGCGCTACCTCAGCCTGGCACACAATGGCATCCACAGCCGTGTGTCCCAGCAGCTCTGCAGCACCTCGCTGTGGGCCCTGGACTTCAGCGGCAATTCCCTGAGCCAGATGTGGGCTGAGGGAGACCTCTATCTCCGCTTCTTCCAAGGCCTGAGAAGCCTAATCCGGCTAGACCTGTCCCAGAATCGTCTGCATACCCTCCTGCCATGCACCCTGGGCAACCTCCCCAAGAGCTTGCAGCTGCTGCGTCTCCGTAACAATTACCTGGCCTTCTTCAATTGGAGCAGCCTGACCCTCCTGCCCAACCTGGAAACCCTGGACCTGGCTGGAAACCAGCTGAAGGCTCTGAGCAATGGCAGCCTGCCTTCTGGCACCCAGCTCCAGAGGCTGGACGTCAGCAGGAACAGCATCATCTTCGTGGTCCCTGGCTTCTTTGCTCTGGCCACGAGGCTGCGAGAGCTCAACCTCAGTGCCAACGCCCTCAGGACAGTGGAGCCCTCCTGGTTTGGTTTCCTAGCAGGCTCCCTTGAAGTCCTAGATGTGAGCGCCAACCCTCTGCACTGCGCCTGTGGGGCAGCCTTTGTGGACTTCCTGCTGCAGGTTCAGGCTGCCGTGCCTGGTCTGCCCAGCCGCGTCAAGTGTGGCAGTCCGGGCCAGCTCCAGGGCCGCAGCATCTTCGCACAAGACCTGCGCCTCTGCCTGGACGAGTCCCTCTCCTGGGACTGTTTTGGTCTCTCATTGCTGGTTGTGGCCCTGGGCCTGGCCATGCCTATGTTGCACCACCTCTGCGGCTGGGACCTCTGGTACTGCTTCCACCTGGGCCTGGCCTGGCTGCCCCGGCGGGGGTGGCAGCGGGGCGCGGATGCCCTGAGCTATGATGCCTTTGTGGTCTTCGACAAGGCACAGAGCGCAGTGGCCGACTGGGTGTACAATGAACTGCGGGTGCGGCTAGAGGAGCGCCGTGGGCGCCGGGCGCTCCGCCTGTGTCTGGAGGAGCGTGACTGGCTACCTGGCAAGACGCTGTTCGAAAACCTGTGGGCCTCAGTCTACAGCAGCCGCAAGATGCTGTTTGTGCTGGCCCACACGGACCAGGTCAGTGGCCTCTTGCGTGCCAGCTTCCTGCTGGCCCAGCAGCGTCTGCTGGAGGACCGCAAGGACGTTGTGGTGCTGGTAATCCTGAGCCCTGACGCCCGCCGTTCCCGTTACGTGCGGCTGCGCCAGCGCCTCTGCCGCCAGAGTGTCCTCTTCTGGCCCCACCAGCCTAGTGGCCAGCGCAGCTTCTGGGCCCAGCTAGGCATGGCCCTGACCAGGGACAACCGCCACTTCTATAACCAGAACTTCTGCCGGGGCCCGACGATGGCTGAGTAGCACAGAGTGACAGCCTGGCATGTACAACCCCCAGCCCTGACCTTGCCTCTCTGCCTATGATGCCCAGTCTGCCTCACTCTGTGACGCCCCTGCTCTGCCTCCGCCACCCTCACCCCTGGCATACAGCAGGCACTCAATAAATGCCACTGGCAGGCCAAACAGCCAACCCTGAGCTCACTAGATGTATGGGTGGGGACGAAAAAGAGAGAATTCTCCAGGCCTCCCTAAAGTGAACAGGGGCTAGAGGTGATTTAGGGGAAATTACTGTGGACAGAAAGGGAAGGCTCACAGGACGCAGGTGTACAGGGGAGGGAAGCTGCTAAGGGCAGCTGTGTTCATGGGCATCTTTTCAGGGCAATCTGAAGAAGGTCACTGAATGCGGTCTTGGTCTTCCCAGAGAGCAGGCTGGGCCTCCTACCTGTTTCAAACCTTCCCCAAATGCCCTGGCCTGCCTATCCTGTCCCAGGCAGTGCCAGGCAGTCCTGCTTAGGCTGTCTCAGCTCCCCTGCTGTATATTGGTCTCAGGATCTGCCTTCCTCACCTGCTGGACCGAAAATGCCTCGAGGGCAGAGGACCTGCAGGCCTGCTTCGTTTCTGCCCCCCGCAAAGTCCTGAGAGGCAGCCGCCCTGGGTAATGTTCATTCCCAAGTGGATGGGGAAGGCTTTGCGCTGAGTTCGGAGGGGGCAATTGCGCCCCCTGGTGGCCACATCTGTGCTGTGCCCAGGAGGCTGGCCCGGGTTGGGGACAGGATGGCCTGTGGGTATATACCCACAGCAAGGAGCTGGGAACCACAGAAGATTCTGGAATGAGCTCACAATCCATCCCTTTCTGTTTCCACCTACAGTGCATGCTAAGTCTCTCTGTTCTGACTTCAAAGGGACACGTAGGTGAGCCGTCACCTGGCTACAAAGATGGGGCCCCCTTCCCTGCCCCTGCCTCTCACAGCTGATTGCACTTACGTGGGACACATGCCACATCTGACCAGGATGGAGTATGTGTGTGTGTTTCTAGTTTTGATACCCAGTATAGATTTCGGGACACTGCTGGGAGCCCCGATGACCAGTGTCTGGAGACAGCTTGTTCAGAGTCTGCGCTCAGTGAGTGTGTGGGGAATCCTGGGTCATGTCAGTCCTGGAGCCCTTGAGGTACTTTGTCCTGGGCTGGCTGCCTCACCATCTCTGGAACCAAACCTGCCCTTTGAGGAGCAGAAGAGACGTGCAGTCTGACAGTTGGAGCTGGGGCCTGGGGTGGCAGGAGAGTGGAACCATCTTGCCTGGCCCCACCTGGTTTGGGGCCAGCTCACCCACTCAGGGCCTGTGGGGTGGAAAGTTGGAGCTGGCCACAGACTTGGCTAGTCTTGCAGCTTGATTGTGGGCAGGCCGGGGTGGGGGAAGGCTGCGAGCAGGGTCTGCTTTTGACCTTCCTCCAAATCACAGCTGGGAGAAAATTATAGGCCACCTTCCTCTTTCTGACTGGGGCACGGGGGCTCCTGTGGTGGGCTGGTGTCCCCTGTGATCTCCTTGCCTGAAATAAAGACAGAAAGTGGTCTCTGACCCATTGATCAGAAGCCCCACATGGACTCTGTCCTGTCCTGAGGGCCAATCCAGCTTCTGGAGGAGCAGGCTGAAGGATGGTGCTACGCACTTGCCTGTGCCTGGGGAGAAAAGAGAACAAGAACTGTCTTCACACAGGGTGGAGCCTTGGGGAAGGCCCCTTGTTGAGTGGCTCTGAGACTGTTCCGGCCACATCCAGGAGCAGGACTGGGAAGCAGAGCGCCGAATTTTGCATGTGGGAAGCACAGTTTGCCTGTCTCTCAGGACAGCTAAGGCCACCCTGGGGCAGTTCCCAGACACCCCACGCTCCATGCCACGTAACCACCCACTCACTCATGCTCACAGTCCTGGTGTTTTGGGGGCTGCAGATTCAGAAGAAGAGCATTTCGCAGATGAAGCACCGGGGCTGTGGGAGGAGGACTGTTGGGCTTGGCTTCAGTGAGTCTGGAGGTCTGTGGCACTTGGTTCGAACTGCAGGGAAAAGCTCTGCTGCCCGTCTGCGGGATCAGAAGGAGCAGAGCTCCACTACCCTGGGTCCCGCATGAGGCGGTAGGAGCTGGGCTCAGGGGGGCTGGTGGGAGGTGGCTCCCACTGCACCGTGGTCAGGAAGGGTGCTCGTGGTTGGCTCCAGGTTCTCTTCTCCACACTGCCACACATCCTCGACCATTAACACGGTCTACAACACTGCTCTGCAAGGCTGGGGAAGAGATGGGACTCAGATAGAGATGGGACTACCCGGGGTAACGACCAGCTCTGCTGTTGGGGTTATCTTGGGCAGGTGACCACCCCTTTGGAGCCTCAGTTTGCTCATCTGTAAATGGGGATGGCCAGATTACTCTGCAGGCTGTTATAAGAATTCATGGTAAAGCGTGTAAAGGCCTAAGAAACCCAGCAGCTCCTCAGTCATGATGATTGGGTAAGGGGCTTGTGCTGAGAACAACCAGCTGATGTGGCTTCGATATTTTCTCTCTCCACCCTGAGGTTGATCCTCCCGAGCCAGGCACCCTGTCAAGAGCACTGAAGAGGGTTCAGAGGCAGACATGGTTCAATCAGAGTCGCGTGAAGCTGGAAACAGGACTGGGGCACCGGGGAAAGTCTGCAGACCCTGGTGTTGCCTCCTGCGCTTTTTGCTAATGGGGAGCAGTGAGTACTAGACAAGCAGAGGTCTGAGCACAAGACTTAGGAAAACATGATAAGAGGAAAACTTCAGTGTAAGGAAATTCTATCTGCTAAGATTTTAAACTGCATCTCACCCTTTTCCCTTTAGGACACTTTATTTAATGCCTTAGGCTTCTATTGTTGGAAAACTTCCATGACATCATACATTTTCACATGAGTTCCTATTAAAAGCCAAGCTTCTCATTTTTAAGCAAGCAGTTCACAAATCCCATCCACTTCCTGCGTCTCAGTCCATCATCCTTTGTTCTCATAACCCCAAGCAGCAGTGAGTGGGAAAGTGGAGCCAATGATCTTGCTGACCTTGCTGGCTCTGAGTCAACTGAGAAGGAAGGTGGGTCCTCCTGAGCACTCCCAGAGAAACATTACCCAAGCTGGAGGGAAAAAACATCAGGAGGAAAAGAGGTGGAGGGTGTTCCAGGCGTGGGAACATGAGGGACAATGGAAAAGTCCTGAAAACTCATGTGAGAGAACAGAGCTGGGAAAGCTGAGGGAGGCTTGTTTCCTGAGCAGAAAGAAACCGTGGCGTGGTTTCAAGGGAGCGTGACTTCCACCGTGCCCAGTAGCCTGGCTAGATGTGTGGTTTTATCTGATGGGACCAGGACTCAGCTGACCTCTCCAGCGTTGGTCCCGATAAGGGTGCGTGTGCCCACTCCCAGGCTCTCTGGAAGGGGTGTCGGCACAAATCTGACCAGAGGGAAGGGAGCAGGGCACAGCTGCCCCTTCTAGAGCTAAGAGAGGGGAGCAAGGCCAAGAGGTTCTCTTTGTCCTCCTGCTGCATGGTTGTTCTTCAGCTTACCTATTCTTTCTGGTAAACTAGAGTTGGATGTTATCATTGGTCCCTGTTATGGGCTGAATGTTTCTGTCCCCCCAGAATTCGTATGTTGAAGCCCCAACCCCAGTGTGATGGCATTTGGAGGTGGACCTTTGGAAGGTAATTAGATTTAGATTAGGTCATGAGGTGGGGCCCATATGATGGGATTAGTGGCTTATAAGAAGAGGAAGAAAGAAATGTCCCTCTCCGAGCAGGTACTGAGGAAAGGTCATGTGAATTTGTAGCAAGAAGTCAGCTGTCTACAGGCCAGGAAGAGGGCCCTCACCAGGAACTGAATCTGCCAGCGTCTTGCTCTTGGACTTCCCAGCATCCAGGACTGTGAGAAACCAGTCTGCGGTGTTTCGTTAAAGCAGCCTGAGCTCAGATAGTCTCCTTTCATTCATTCAACAGACGTTTATCTGCTCAGTGCCTGTGTGTGAGGTACTGTGCTGAGCACTGGGGATACAGAACTGAGGAGAAAGACAGGGTGAGTGATCGACAGGGGAAAAGGCATTGTGGGTGGTGACCGGCTTTGAAGGGCAGCAAGGTAGGAGGTCAAGTGATGGCAAGAACACAAAAGGGGATGCCTTGGCCTAGGGGCTTAGGGAAGGTCTCCTCAGGGATTCTTGTCCTGTGTGAAGAAAGGTAGCTTGCCAGGATCCAGGGTAGAAAAACCCAGGCAGAGAAACAATGGCTAACAACCTCCAAGGCCTGGAAGCTGGAGAGAACCTGGGTATTTGAGGCCCAGAAGTGTGCAGCAACAAATGAAACAGAGTCAACAAATGAGGGTGGGATGGGATCCCAATCCCAGGGAATGTCGTCAGCCCGCGTGAGAATTCTAGAATTTAATCTGAGCGCCAATGGAAGACCCAAGAAAGTTTTCTGCAGGGGAGGGACACGATCTGATTTATATTTTTAAAAGCTTTCTCAGGCTGCTGTGTGGGTCGAGGCTGGAGCAGATGCCAGGATGATGGTGGCATGATCGGGATGGTAGCAGTGGAGGTGACGGCAAGTAGCCTGGCCTGAGACATATTTTAGAAGTAGAACTTACAAGACTTAATAGGCTCAAGGAGGGAAAGACAGCTGACTTCCACGTGAGAGGCTGGAGTAACTGCGTAGTGATGGTTAAGATGAGGGAACAGCAGGTAGGGGAGGAGGGGGAAGAACCTAGGTGCCCTCTGGACCTGTGTGGTTCAAGGCGGTCAGTGATGTACGGTGGAATGGAAAACCCAGGGCTGGGAGAAGTCACGTGGCGGGGAGAGGAAAGGGTTAGTGCAGTTAGAGAGGAACCTGGTGGGTGATCAATATTCAAAGAAGGATCCAGCCAAAAAGGCCAAGAAGGACCAGCTCATGAAGTAGGAGGAAAACAATCAGGAGACGTTAGTGGCACAGAAGCTTAGAGGAGAAAGCTGTAAAAAGGCCAAAAACAACCACCTCAACCACCTCCACTGGGAGATCCAATGAAAGGAAAACAGAACCGGCCACTGGATTTGGCAAGAAAGCAGCAAGATACAGCAAGAAAAGAACAGCCTCCATGGGGAACAGGATGAAGGACTGAGTGCGTAGGGCTAAGCAGAAAGAGGCAGAAGAGAGGGATGTGGCAGAAGCTAGAAGGGAGTCTG